TCGACATGGGTCTGAGCAGCAAAGTGCATAATTGTGTCGATGTTTTCAGTGATGAGAAGGTAGTTGACGAGGTCAGCACTGGCAATGTCTCCCTTGACAAACTTGAAGTTGGGAGATGATTTGGAAGGATTGAGATTCTTCAGGTTTGAACAGTAATCAAGCTTGTCAAGGACAACAATTTTGTAGTCAGGGTAGCTGCGAACTAGTCTGTTGGCAACATGGGACGCTATGAATCCAGCAGCCCCAGTGATGAGGATGTTCTTGGGCTTATACGTAGCCATTTGATGTGAAATATAATATCTGCAACATCAGAAAACATAAGACTGAATTCAGCAAAGCTATCGTTATACTCATCTATGAAGAAACAGCACAAGAAGACTCGATCTTGCCACATTTAGACTATTATGATGAACGTCCATTGGATCAGATGTAATTTAATCGAACAGATGGACTACATAGGAAACAGACACTAAGAAGAACATATTATTCAGATCTATCTTTATGAAAACCCCATTACTCAACCCCCATGGTTTAGTTCAATAAAAAACTCATGAGAGTCTAATAGATAGAACTAAACAGGTAGCAGGAAGCCAAACCTACGTGATTAGCCCGGAAAGCTACAGCTATTAGAGAACAATTCAATGATCAGAAGAAAGGCAGATCCAGATCCAGAAGTATGACAAAATGTAGCAATCAAAATGCGCGAAATTGCCCAGGTTGAGAGCAGCAGATCCAAAGGCAAAACGATGAACAAGCATTACAGATCATATAAACCAAACAAAAAATTTCTAAAAAAAAACTCAAAAACATGTCAGCTATGGCAGGCACCACCACGTACAATGTACACTCACCAATTAGCTCAGAGTCAGAGAGCATACGAAATTGGGAAAAAGAATAAAGAGTTCGGGGTACAAACCGGATCGATTCGGATCAAGATGAATGTAAACTTGAAGAATGTGTCGAGATTTGAAAATAGTGAAAATCGGAGGATAGGAAGAGAGATCAATGGAAAATAACAGTGAAGACGAAAGAGGAGAAATGAAAGGAAAGAGAGGGAATCTAACGAGCGTCAGAAAACAGGAAGCCCCTCTTTTTAATTTGAGCCAGTTACGGAGAACCAGGGGACTACTAAATGACCAATTTACCCATTACTAACGCTTTAAAATTTACGGTACAATTTAAAGATTTTTCTTTTTTCTTAATTTGTCCCTTGTTTTATCACGTCAGCAGATATTAAATTGCCAAGCGACAATATAGGCAACGTAGAATTTCAACATGCCCGCATGAGTTTCGGCTTCGCAATTAATCGATTTTACCTAAAAAAAGTTTTAATATAGAAGAAAGAACTTGCGCTGAACTTTGAATTGACTAAACATAGAAAATGAGTTTTATGTGATATTTCTCGTTATATATATATATATACATATATATAGACGGTGAAAAAATACTAAATCAAATGATAAGTACCAAAGTACGTACATGTTAATCAAAAACAAAAAACAGAAGTGGTCATGAATTGCAAATGCTAAAACATCACGTTAGTAAGTTACGCAAAAGTGTGATCTGGTTCCTTAATAGGCCGTTTTAGGGCAATAAAATTTGTTATCATTTATGGGCCTAGGAATCTCAAACTCACAAGAATTTCATGCAAATTTTGTTATTATTAAGAACTGAATTCAAATAAGAACGAATATACGCCTACGTTCAATTATCACTAGGCCACAAGCAGTTTGGACAAACTTGTTGTATTGTTTATAAATACACATATATGTAACATGTACTTGCTTAAAAATAAATTAAAAATATATTTTATAACGTAGAAAAATAATAGAACTAGAGTACAAGATCAACTTTGTATAGATAAGTGATTGGGACTATATATATTTGAAAGGGCCGGTAAACTTTTTCTTTTCTTTTAAGGTAACAAAATAATCCACTGTAGTCGGGGAAAAAACAATCCACTGTAGTCGAGAATCATTATTTGCGGCGCAAATGGCATATTACGTACGGAGTTGGTCTTGTTCGCTTTTCATATCCATTACCGTCCACATGTATATAAATAGTAGGGCCCTAAATAGTATAACAAATGTGTTTTGTTTTCCCTTATAACGACTGGAAATAAAATGTGAGAGAGAGAAGTAATCGACGTTTGCAAATCAATATAATAATCTTGTTGATGTTTACGTGGCGATCTATTGATTTCTATACATCTGATCAACAATTGATTAATGATTACATCTTGGATTTCATATTTTTTCCATACTACGTAAAAGTTAGGCAATGTACTTGACTAGTTTATACGGAATCAATTTATTGTTATTAGGATAATATATTTTGTTACCTCGTCTATTCCGGTTTAGATTCTATATTTGAATCGGGTAATTTATGTATAGGTTTAGTCTCGTGTAAAAACTTTTAAGAAAAATCACTCAACATAACCACTTGGTTACTGTAAATATTGGCATTATGTTTTTAAATTAAATGTTTTGCATATTTTTTTGTTTTTTGGTTAAATTTTGCATAAGTTGACAACTACGACCTCAATTGTTGACAAAAAAAAAGACTTTAATTGTTTATATAATATTTATACTAACACCAAATTAATTGCAAAAGAAATAGAAGGATCTAAAGCAGAAAGTATCAATCCACTTGGTGAATGAAGAACAAATGTGTCGCAAATAAAAGTCAAACCCATTGAATAAAATATTTTCAGTTGAAACTTATGAGTTAATAACTTATCGGATCAGTTTTTGTCATCTATTATATCATTTATATATATTTGGTGAATATGGAAGTACTCTTGATATTTGCGTAACGTTAGATTTAAAATGAAAAGAACAAAAGATTTGTTGTCCCACGCTTTGTATATAGATCGCGTGACTTTGCTTTCAATTTAGGTCAGGGACATGGCTTAATCAACTTGTTGATTAGTATATGAGAATAATCTTTATATTGTTTACTACTAAAAGACCAAACAAAAAAAACTATTAAATTAGAGGATAAGGACTAAAGATCCGACTGTATACGGTTTATCGGAAAGAGAACGTACAAGTCTTCACGTAGATAAATATAAAATGAATTTCTTCACAAGGAGGGGTTCTCTAAAAAATGCATGGACTCTGATTTTTTTATTTCTTATATATTTTGATACAAGATTTCTATTAATTAATGTCCATCACATATCTATACAATTGTGTTTTATCTCTTAATTAGATTTCGATATCGATGTTTACTTTTTCCATATATATCTATATTCAATCGCTTCTGGTGTACATATTGTTTTTTTCTTAAAATCGAGGTTATCCTAAACAAAGCACAGACAAAATTATCTTTTATATTTAAATTTAAGATCACACGAAATTTTGATGCCTTTTAGTTTTACTGATTATCATTTTTCCAAAGTAAACAAAACTATCGATAGAAATAGCACGATCCCATTAAACTAAATGCTGTAAACCACAACACTAATATGGTTCTCCTCGAACTGAATCGCCTCTTGACCATTCCCATCTCGCCCGTCTCTAGGGTTTCTTTCTCTAATCTTTTTTTTTTTTTTTGGTCGAAGATGTTAAGTTCTTTCTCTAATCTTTCTTCTGTCTTCTAGTTCGTTTTACAACCAAGTAGTTTGGGTAACTGATTTGACTATTTATCCATTTAAATTGGGTTTTACTAGAATGAGCTTATTGTAAAAATAAAACAATGATGAATTTTTTTTCCTTCTGCCTCGTTTAGTTAAAGGACCGCAAAATATTTTTTTAAAAAAAAAATTAGAACGAAATTGCTAGTTTGTTTTGGTTTGTAATCACTAATCGCAAATTATTAATTGTAAAAGTTGAATATTTTGTTCAAGAACTGAATAAACAAAAAATATTTAATTTACGCACCGCATTGGACTTGTCGTTCTCGGGATTTTAGCGAGTGATTCAGTGCGAGACACATGCATTGGATAACCAACCACTCACGGCAGCTCGTTGAAATAGAACACACGACGACCAAATCTTACTATTATTGATTTAAAAATTCGACGACCAAGTGTGAGAGAATATCGAACGTAGACCACACAAAAAGCTCAAAACTCAATCCAGAAATGGAAAACCTTTATTGGTCGCAATTCACTCAAATAATCAGGTGGGAGATCCTTGTCGACGGGAGCAACGATAGCGATCAATCGAAAAGACATTTATAAGGCCTGAAATTTGCTGTGCAATTAAGTTTGGAATTTCAGAATATTCGTGAAATTAAAAATAATGAAATATATATGAAAAAATTTACACATAACAATTCAAACTTAGGTAAGCATAGTCAAATTCACTTCTTAGTCAAATTTACTTCTTATGTTGTATCTTTCTCATTATATGGCGCATATATATACTTATGTAATAATAATTTGTTTTTGAAAGTTTTTGTATAGTGACTTTGTAATTTCATTTTGAAATCAATAAAATTGTTTGTCATAAAAAAAAAAAACAATTCAAACTTAGGTACATATTTTAAAATCAATTCCAAATGGTGATCTATCAATCGTACAAATATTTTTTTTTTGGATCAAATCGTACAAATCATTTATCAACTTAAAATTATATTAAAGGTTATTTTAAATGACTGAAACCAGATCTATATATTTTAAAATATCATTTAAAAAAAAAAATTCTGACAGTTTGAGTCGGTAAATTTATAAGGGAATGTATAGTTTTTGGTCTGAAACCCTTACTTGTTCAAATCATAGTTTTACATTCTATTTCTAGATACAGACAGAATATATTTAAAGCATAACTAATGATTTCAAGCCCGTCTACTTGTCAAAGATAATTTTTTATATTATGACTCTTTATAGAAGTTATTGATTGGATGATGCTGCGCATATCTAATTTTTTTCATATTATGTCGGAATTTGGTAACAAATATGTAAATTTCGACATTTTTGTTTTGTTTTTTAACTTTTGGAAGATGGTAGAATAGTAGACACAAAAATCTGGACCGCATATATATAGTCGTACGCATTCAATCTTTTGCTCCTTGCACTTTACAGAAAGTCTTCTTTTACAAATCTCATTTAATTAGTCTTTCTCTAAAAGTTCTTCTCTCGTTTTGCAAAGTTTCTGCCTCCATAAGAGTAGAACAGAAGAAAGAAGAAAAGCTCAAGGCTTTTTTGTTCTGAAGAAAAGAAAAAAAAAAAAGGAGCCATCTTATGACAGAGCAGCTTCTCATGGATTTCTTTGCTTTCAATGGTTCTTTGTCCACATGGAAAGATGTAGCCGGAATCGCAGGTAATATACTTTAAATCTGCTTTTTAAATATCTTTTCCACTGGATTTTTTTGGTTATTCTTAAGCTAATATGGGAATAAAAACCCAAACTTTAGTCTCCTTTATAACAAATTAAGTATATATTGGATCTGGTTTAACTGCCATGAATATCCCCAAATCAAGAGATATGTTTGGCCATTTTTGGTCTGCACTTTACTTCTTCCTCTTCGTCTTCCTTGGCACCGAAACAGTCTTAATAAGATTCAAATGATGTTTCTGATCGATTTCCTCGGAGAAAACAAGAAATCTGCTTCTGTAGAAACCGAATTGATGGTTATTACTGTTGCATCTTTTGTTCTGTTTCAGGCAACATATTTGCTTTTGGGCTATTCGTTTCACCAATGTGAGTTCTTCCTCTTCATCACTTGCTAAACTTTGTTCCTTCCTTGTATATATAGTTTTCTTCTTATCTATGGACTTCACTGATTTCTTTCTCATTTGTTTGTGTGTGTGTGTCTCTGTTTTATTTTCAGGCCAACGTTTAGGAGAATCATGAGGAACAAATCAACCGAACAATTCTCGGGTTTACCATACATTTACGCTCTCTTAAACTGCTTGATCTGCCTTTGGTACGGTACACCTTCCATATCCCACAGCAATGTCATGCTTATGACTGTGAATTCTGTTGGAGCCACTTTTCAGCTTTGCTACATTATCCTCTTCATCTTGCACACAGACAAGAAAAACAAGGTTTCTTGATTGATTCCACATCTATTCACACGATCTAAAATCTACTAAATCCCCTGTTTTTTTCTTCTAATCAAGATCTTGTTGATCATGGCAGACGAGGATGCTTGTTTTGCTTCTTTTGGTGTTTGTTGCGGTTGGTCTGATTGTAGCTGGAAGTCTTCAGATACCCGACAATCTCACACGGTGGTACTTTGTCGGGTTCTTGAGCTGCGCTTCTCTTGTCTCAATGTTTGCCTCACCCTTGTTTGTTATCGTAAGTTCCCACAAAAGCCAACAACTTCTTTTCAAATTCTGCAGCTTTATCAATATTTCCTGACTTTCCTGCTCTTTTTGCAGAAGCTAGTGATTCAAACCAAGAGTGTTGAGTTTATGCCCTTTTATCTCTCTCTATCGACTTTCTTGATGAGCGCTTCCTTCTTCCTTTACGGGTTATTCAACAGCGATGCCTTTGTTTATGTAAGTTGCTTCTCTTCAACAGTTGCTACTGCAATTTTTGTTGTTTCTATTTAAGTATTAACAAACCTTTATTGTTTCTCAGACACCGAATGGGATAGGAACGATTCTTGGTATTGTGCAGCTGTCTTTGTACTGTTACTACCACAGAAATTCTGTAGAGGAAGAAACAAAAGAGCCTTTGATTGTTTCTTATGTGTGAGATTCGCACAAAAGAAGTAAATCTACGGTGGGGAAAAAGAAAACAAAAATATGGTTACATCAAAGATTCTTTGTTGTTGTTGTTGTTGCTGTTGTTGTCTACTCTTTGTAGCTTCTTGTGACTATATCTAACGGCTTTGATTCTCCCATGGCGTGAAGATGTTTATCCTCTCGGCTTCTGTCATGATCGAAAGATGGAGATCTTTTTTTCAGTTTTGATGGCTCATTTGCTGAAGATTATCTGGTGGGCTGATTTGAAGAACATTTCTCCATGTATTGTTTGTTTTAGAAGATTATTCTATTTGTTTATTCATAAGATTTTGCTTTCTTTGTTAAAAAAAGAAAGAAAATTTGCATGTATTTGTAGCAAATTGTTTGTTCATAAGGAATTGCTTTTCTTTCTCCATCTAAGCAATCAAAAACACACCAAAAAAGAATTGAAATTCGCATCTATATCACATAAGACATTGTCTACAGAAACATGTTTTTCTTTTTTTCATTCTCACCTTTCATTGCGGTTTTAACTTGTTGTACACGAAACATCAAGAGACTTCTTTGCAGAGAAAAGAACTATCAAAGCAAATCTCTCAAAGTTGTTCTTACCAGAGAACTCTGTTTTACCTGTAACACAGCAACAAGAAGTTATATCCATCTCTAGAACAACAAAATATGTAAAAGATCAACTGCATTAAGAGTAAACACTTAACACTCACTTCTTCTTGAGGTTGAGTATGATGAAGCGGATGGCCGCGTTCATCATACAATATCAAACCGCTAAACCGGGGCAATTCACATTTCTCACCCATCAAAATCGGTCGCTGCCAAACCGGATCAACCGCATTAAGACTCCTTTCTTTAACCGCAAGCAATTGCCGCGGCTTCCGCGTCTCCATCTCCATCCACTTCGCTGCAGAGCTCCAACAAAACGAACCCATCAACCTTCTCTTCACTTTGCTCCAGTTACAATCCCTCTTTTCCTCCATTGTTCTTGATGCAACCGCTGTTTCGGACGCCCACTCAGCGTCTGCCACTTGCTTTCCTCGAGAGTTGCGGTTGAGAAACGCTGCGGCTGTGCAGAGGAGCGTTACTGCAGCCGCTGTTCCGACCAAGATCACAACCGCTTCTTTGGTCGTTAGCTTCAGTTTCTCCTCCAACTTCCACAAGGCTTCCATTGTTTTTTTTTTTCTTTGGTCTTTTTTTAGGGGTCTATTAGAGCAATTGGAGAGTTAAGTGTGAGGAAAGTATATAGGTGAAAATGGTGAGCTTCATGTGAACTCCACCGTTATATTTTTTTTTTCCTTCAATAAATCCGTTATGAATTTATTGTTCATCATTATGATATTTATTATACTCTATCGTTTTCTTTTGCCCTCAAATTAAATCTTTTATCTCAGTTTGAGTCAAGGCCTTGGCTTGATAATTCATTAATGTGGCTATAAACTTTAAACTTGCCGTTGTAGTCTATAACTTTGAGCCTACTACAAAATTAGAAATAATTGGTTTTTGTTTTGCAATGCAAAATGATATAAATTGTTACTATAAATGTTTGTATTCGTTTGTTTTAGCTTATGGACCAAATATATCTAGCTTGTAGGGACACAAGGTTTTTATGACATCACGAGCCAGACAAGGTCTAGTCATGTTCTTGGACCTATGGAATTGTGGTACCACGAATTAAAGATGAAGGAGCAAATTGATATAATTTAAATAAGTGGAGGAAAATTGAAAATATAGCAGTATAATCAAAAATTTCTGTAAATACGAAAATCAAAAGGAGTAATTCGTAAACATTACTGTTGTTAAGCGACTTCCGCCAGAGATGTCAAACTTATCAATCCGCGTCCAACTAGTCCGATCCGATGCAATTTTAATTTTTTTCGGGTCTAGTGGGCTGGTCCATCATAAATTACGGTCCTAAATTGATGTGTCCAAGACCAACTCGCCTATATTCTATAGTTTTGCGGGCTGACCCGCGGATTCATACTTATCTTCTTCATTTTAAAATTTTTATGACATTCAAACTTATAAAACCAAAAAATCTACAACAGAAAAATAAAATATTATTACTAGTATTAATACTAATATTACTACTATTACTATTAATAGTATTACTAGTATTATTAGTAGTAGTATTACTAGTATTATTACTAGTATTAATACTAATATTACTACTATTACTATTACTACTAGTAATAATACTACTATTACTATTACTATTACTACTATTAATATTACTACTATTATTATTACTATTATTATTATTGATAATAGTATTACAAGTATTCTTACATTACTATTAATACTATTACTACTACTACTATTATTATTACTAGTAGTATAACTAGTATTACTATTTACTACTATTATTACTATTATCACTAGTATTATTACTATTACTAGTATTACTAGTATTACTACTAGTATTATTACTAGTATTACTATTATTAGTATTATTACTAGTATTACTATTACTAGTATTATTACTAATATTATTACTAGTATTACTATTAGTATTATTATTATTACTACAAGTATTACTACTATTATTATTAGTAGTATTACTAGTATTACTACTTGTATTATTACTACTACTATTACTACTATTATTATTACTACTATTAATATTACTTCTATTATTGTTACTAGTAATATTACTAGTATTATTACTAATAGTATTACTCATATTACCACTATTACTATTACTACTAGTATTATTATTAGTATTACTATTAGTATTACTTCTAGTATTATTACTAGTATTACTATTACTAGTATTATTACTAATATTATTACTAGTATTACTATTAGTATTATTAATATTACTACAAGTATTACTACTATTATTATTACTACTGTTAATATTTTCTACTATTATTATTACTACTATTAATATTACTTGGGTTGACGATCTATTTCCCCACAAGAACTGTCATATAGTATCAAATCCCCATCAAATTATGACCTTGTTTCAAGTCCACATAAAATCAAAGTTTTAGATCTAAATCCCCTCAATTTAAAACTTTGAAACTTATTTCCCCACAAATGTGGATTTCTACGGTTTGTGATCTAAATCCGAGAGCTAACCGTTAAACCATAAAACCAAACAAAAAAAAAACTTAATCTGAACTTTACTCATATATCATCATTTTAAAATCCTCAATTTAGTCTGAAAATTCCAAATCAAAAATTTGAGTATGAACCCTAAAATCGATTTTCAATTATTATAATCTATAATTCTTATAATGGAAGGGTAAAGGAATCCAATTCTCGAAATCAAAGTCGATGTTGAACAATCTAGTGTTACTATTAGAAGCTGCTTTGAGAATTGAAACCCCTGCTTTACCCAGCTCATATTTTATCATTTTAAAATCTCAATTTCAAAATTGCTGAATCATAACATAGTTTTCGATAATTTGAATTTAAGCAAACGAAATGAACATGATGATAACGAAAAATTATCAGTTTAGATATTGAAATCAACGATGACTAGAAAGAATGAAGCCTAATATGTCTCCTTTGAAGTCCGTCAATGGTGATTCACATGTTTTACTAAAAATTAGATAGTACATAATTAAATTAAGCATCCACTAATTCTTGAAAATTGAGATATTTGCAGAAACAACATATGAAATTTGCAGAAACAGCATATAGTTAATTAGATTGAAGGAACCGAAGTTTCTTTGTTGTCGTTTGTCTAATGTCACGTCACCACTCTGATTCGCAAGCCTTGTCTTTTTTCTAACAACAAACCCAACAAAACCAAATCGTAAAAGAGGATGGAGAAATCAGTTTGAATCTTGTGTTACAGTGAGAGACGTGGAAGTAGAAGAGGATGGAGAAATTGACGGGAAGAAGAAGAAGTTGGTTTAGGTTTGGAAATTTTTTGGATTATTTTAGTAATCGGGTCATAAATCGGTTTACAATAGGTTATACATGGTTTAAGTTTGGTTAGAAATAGTAAACCAACTAAAACCAATTTTTGTGGGGTTTGAAGTTTCGAACTTTGAATTTGTGGGGAAATAAGTTTCGAAGTTTTAAATCGGGGGATTTAGATCTTAAATTTTGAATTCTTGTGGATCTGAAACGAGGTCATAGTTTGATGGGGATCTGATGCTATATGATAGTTCTCGTGGAGAAATAGATCGTCATCCCATATTACTTCTATTATTATTACTAGTAGTATTACTAGTATTACTACTAATAATATTACTAATATTACTATTACTACTATTATTATTACTAGTACTATTACTAGTATTACTACTATTACTATGACCACTATTACTATTGCTATTAGTATTACTACTGGTAGTATTATTAGTATTACTATTAATATTATTACTAGTATTACTATTACTATTACTATTAGTATTACTACTAGTATTACTGCTATTACTATTACTATTAATATTATTACTAGTAATATTACTATTATTAGTATTATTACTATTATTACTAGTATTATTACTAGTACTACTATTATTATTACTAGTATTATTACTAGTACAGATGTCAAACGACAACCTGCATTCAAATAGTTCAATCTGATGCAGTTTTTTTTTTTCAGGTCTGGCAGGTTTGTCCATCATGAGCTGCGGTCCCAAATTGATGTGTCCAAGCCCGATCCGCCTATACTCTACGTTTTTACGGGCTGACCCGCGAATTCATACTTATCTTCTTTATTTTAAAGTTCTTATAACATTTAAACTTATAAAACCAGAAAATTCGCAAGAGAAAAATAAAGTTTTTCTCGTAACTGATACACAATATGCATTAAAAACAAAACTAAAGAAAGTTCTTGTCAAAGTAAATTCGATGAATAAATAAACAAATTCGATAAATCTATTAAACAAAACTTCTAGCCCGAAGATGCCATAAGATTTAAAAAATCAATTAAACTGTAAGAATAAATACTTAGTTTTGAAAAGCAAATAAATGAATTACAAATAATGATATACATCAAAACTGGTAATTTAAGCTACAGAACCATTAAGATACAAGCAACAAGACATTCACATATAAAATCAAAGAAAAATAGATGAACAAAGCTTATTTGTTAGTCCAGCGTACAAACTAATGTGATTCTCAAGCAAAACTATTTATCAATTCAAGATTTAAGCGATACTAAATTACCTTTGCATCGCTGCAGACAAAATAAAAACCACGTCTATGATATAGTCGATGAACAAAACCAACACTTGACCAATCTCATTTTTTCTCTTTTTTTAAAATCTTATAAGAAGAATACAGATGAATTAAAAAAACAAACAAACTTATGACATTAAACTGAAATTAAAACTCTAAAAAATACTAGTTTTTGGTTTGGAAGACAACAACCAGATTTTCTCCCAAATTCAAAAATCCAATCACAGAATCTGAATCGAATCGAATATAAAATACATACCAGTTTGATGATTCTTTGATCTTGTTGAAATGAAACTATAGAAAAACTCAATAGCTGAATTGTATGACTCCACTAGGCTCGAAATTCACTCCATGAAACTAATATTTCGAAATCCACTAATGACAAAATATTTCACTTTTCAAGCTTTACAAATCAAACATCAAATTCTGCGAATTAGACCGCAAACTTACAGATCTGCTTTGATCCAATCCGCAAAATCTAATTTCTACCGCGAAATTCACATTTTATTTGAACAAATTTTATAGAATCTAAATCCGCATTGCTGCGGAGCCGAACCTAAACCCGCAGATCATAACCCAATTTGACACCTCTAACCTCTGCTGTATTCACTCCCGGCGAGTTGGAATTTGGAGGTTTTAATTTTTTTTTCTCTTGAGCAATCAGAGTTTCTACAAAACATCCTTTGAAGTGTTTTGTGTTGATCAATCTCCAATCTGATGAACAAGGGGCTTTCTCAGGAACCCTAATTTGTTATCCGTCAAGGGTTTCCAATCTTCGAAGGTCAGTGCGTGATTTTGAGATTTGTTGACCTTTTCGTTTCTGCTTAGTGTTGAGAGCTCCTTCTTCGCGTTTGTTTGAGCATAAGGAGTTTTGAAGTCCGCAGATTTGGTCCTTTGAGAAATTTTTCTTTCGTTTAGCAAATTTTCACGAGATTTCAGATATTCTAAGATCAGAGCGTAAATGTCTGGAAGAAATCGTGGACCTCCTCCTCCATCGATGAAAGGTGGATCTTACAGTGGCTTGCAACCTCCGGTTAACCAACCGGCTTTTGTTAGAGGCTTGGGAGGACCAGTGCCTCCTCCTCATCCTTCTATGATAGATGATGTTAGGGAAACACAATTCAGAGTGGATCCAAGAGGTCTTCCTCAACATCTTTCAATCATGGAGGAACGTATCGCTGCTCAAAACCAAGACGTGCAGGGCTTTCTTGCTGATAACCAGAGGCTGGCTGCGACTCATGTTGCGCTTAAACAGGAACTGGAAGTTGCTCAGCATGAGCTGCAAAGAATGATGCATTACATTGATTCCTTGAGAGCGGAGGAAGATATCACGATGAGGGAGATGTATGACAAGTCCTTGAGATCCGAAATGGAACTGCGTGAAGTCGATGCTATGCGAGCTGAGATTCAAAAGGTTCGTGCAGATATCAAAGAGTTTACTTCGAGTAGGCAGGACCTAACGAGCCAGGTTCATTTGATGACTCAAGATCTGGCTAGACTTACAGCTGATTTGCAGCAGATACCAACACTAACTGCAGAAATTGAGAACACAAAGCAAGAGCTGCAACGTGCAAGGTTTTACAAGTCTCCTCTTTTTAGTTTTGCCTTTGTTCACCTTGATGTTAATGTGTATTTAAGCTGTGATTTCCTGCTTTGTAGAGCGGCTATTGATTATGAGAAGAAAGGGTATGCGGAAAATTACGAGCACGGTAAAGTTATGGAGCAGAAATTAGTTGCAATGGCTCGGGAACTGGAGAAACTTCGAGCAGAGATTGCTAACTCAGAAAATAGAGCTCAGGCAACTGCTCCTGTTGGGAATCCTGGTATGGTAAACTTGAATAACTATAAATTATAACAGTGCCATAAGATACAAAAATAGGTTCATTACTAGCAATGAATATTTTCTATAGTCGAAAATGTTGAGAAATTAAACATGTTTTGATCAGGTGGAGTTGGTTATGGTGGTGGCTATGCGAATCATGAGGCTGGGTATGCTGTGAATCCTTACCAACCCAACTATGGCATGAATCCAGTAAGTTTTAAATTTAAGCTCATAACCATTTCTCGTGGGATTCTCTATTTTAGTTTTACTAAGAAGAGCATTGCTAGTGCTATAGTAAAGCAAGACAATATGCCTAAGTTAGTTTGAACTTGAATCTTGAATTTGAACCAAACTACATTAGCCAATAGTAGAGCCGAAGGTGTCAATCTGATGTAGCCAGAACTGCCTCAATGGGACTTGTTAGACCAATCTTGAGTCAACAGTAGAGCTGTGGTTGATGAAACCTGTGGCAAAATATCTAACTGAACAACAATTATGTTCACATATCTCCTGTTGTTGTAGTTTAAGATGCATGCATACTTATATACACATGTAAACTAAAAAGTGCTCATATGATGGGAATGCTGGTTCAGGCACAGGCAGGCGTTGAAGGCTATTATCCTCCTCCTTATGGACCACCCGCTACGTGGGCTGGCGGCTACGATATGCAGCAGCAGCAGCAGCAGCAGCAGCAGCAGCAGGGCCGCCCATGTTAAGAAAATGGATACACTCGACTAGGGCCTTTGTATATATTTTTGAAATTGAAATTTTGTTATAGTGATAAACATATTCTAAACTATTATATTATCCGATTCAACATTTATAAAACATGCTCTTTTAATTAAGTTTAGTTAATTAAAAGACATTTGTGACTCTATATGTCAATGTTATTATCATAATATATGAGCATTGCTGTCACAAAGACAAGGACATCGATAAAAATGTCGCAGTGCTACATTTTTCCGACAACAACTTAAAAGCAAAGCAAGCCTATATTTTGTAACTTTTTCAAAACTTAACTTAATGATTGAAAGACTCCAAATGTAGCTAGCGTCACACAGATTTAGAGAAAAAGGATATGATTTGATTTGCGCAAAAAAAACATTGTCAATACCTGAAATGGGCCGAAATGGGCCGAAATTAGGCCCATTGGTAATCACCTCCCCCGCCCATATAACAAAAGAAAATATGGCGGCTAAAATATTTTCGGTTGATGAGAAAAAGAAATTAGTGAAATTTTCAAAGAGAATAAAATTTCAGAAATTCCGCGGGTATTCTTTCCCACTAATGTTTCAGTAAACACCATTTCCAAAAAATTCAGGCGGCAAAGTTATGATTTTGATTGCCCTTTTAATTTCTCTGAGATCCACGACAGCTCCCATAATCCCTCCTCACTCTTGAGTAATCTCATTAGTCATTAGATCTCAAGTAGAAGCTATGGATGCTCAGTTTCAGGATTTACCTCCTCTCAAGAGATTAAGACTGATGCAGCGAGATCTGGAACGTGCGCAGCCGCCGCTACGGAGTCAATCGGAGACGAAGTCGTTGCAGTTGCCGGCGAAGAAGAGGAAGCATACTCGCGTTGACTATGTTGACGATGAAGAGAACTCTAACCCCACCTATCGTTGTCTTCCGGCGAAGAAAAGGATATGGGCGATTGATCCCGATCTGCTCTCCGGTAATCCTTTTTCGCCTTTTGATCTGAATATTGAGTATAAGCCTTGTGTAGAGGAGAAGGGTTTTGAGAAAAATGGATCTTTATTCGTTGAATCGAGTTTACAAGTAGAAGATGATGATGATGATAAGGAGAATATCGATCCTCTAGGGAAAGAAAAAGTTTTGGATCTGTCTGATAGAGAAGTAGAGAAAGAGGAAGAAGAAGATGGCATTATGTGTGCTGTATGTCAAAGCACAGATGGTGACCCATCAAACCCAATCGTGTTCTGTGATGGATGCGATTTAATGGTTCATGCTTCGTGTTATGGGAACCCTCTTGTTAAGGCTATACCAGAAGGTGATTGGTTTTGCAGACAGTGTGTTGCTTCTCGCTCATCTAAGAACCGGGAAAAGCTCTTCTCTTGCTGCTTGTGTACAAGCAAAGGTGGAGCAATGAAACCCACCAAGGATGGTCGGTGGGCTCACATCACCTGTTCGTTGTTTGTGCCGGAAGTCTACTTTGAGGATCCTGAAGGAAGGGAAGGGATTTGTTGCAGCGAGATACCGAGTAAGAGATGGAAAGATAGGTGTTATTTGTGCAAGATTAGACGCGGGTGTGTTATCGAGTGTTCAGAGATGAAATGTCAGTGTGCTTTTCATGTTACTTGCGGTTTGAAGGAAGATCTTTGCATCGAGTATCGTGAAGGCAAGAAGAGTGGTGGTATTGTTGTTGGTTTCTGCAATGAGCACACCAAACTATGGGAAAGGGTAAGTTTTGCATCATATACTTATCTCCAGTTTTTCCTGATCTGGTAGTTGTGTATTTATGTGTAGGGGTCAATTTTGATGATTAGTTTTTGTTTGTCAGCAACAGGAAAGTGGAAAGTACAAGATTGTTGCTAGAGATGAAGATAAGAAGTAGCAGAAAGCTGGAGGATCATGAGCATTCTTTTGCTTGCAACTCTGAAGCTTCTTATGGTTTTGATTGTTTTAAAACGCTTTTTGTTATTTTCATGGATATGTGATCAGTGATTAGCTGGTGCGTAATGGTTTTTCAAGTTTATGTTCTTTTCTCAAGGCTATTTTATGTTCTACGTTTGTATTGTTTTAAGTTGTACAAGGCTAAAACTTGTCAATCTAATTCCATCCTCATTGTATTATGGTTCAAGTCATGATTATAATAAGCAGATTTTCTTTTGAAAGATGAATCAGAATGTTGGTCATGTTCTGCTCTTCCAACTCAGACTCAACATGGTGGAAGTTCAGTGAATTTGCTATTTAAATAATGTCTGACTCGTGATATCAAACCCAAGAATCTTTGCAGGCAAGTAGCTCAAAGAGGTAGAGCTAGTCTTGATGATAAGCGTGTTTCTCTTGAAAACATGTTTACCCAAATAAAATGCTCTTCTTTTCACTCTTTAAAAAGTCAAATCTTTGTCCCTTCTCTGATAACCAAACATTGTTACATACAGCACTAGCTATCCAGAAACTCTTGTGACAAAGTAGACGGTAATGGCAAAGATGAGTTCCGTTGGTTTACCCAAACCGGAATCTCGCTCAATACAATTTAGACCGGTAACTAAAGACATTTGAAACAAACAAACAGAGATACAGAACTGCAACAACGAACCATTGTCTTAGCTATCAGCCTATCACTGCACTTCCAGTTAACTTAATCAATCAGCTTTAAAAGCAATAGTTTTAAGGGTTTCAGAAATCTCTCATTTTCGCGCAGATTTGCTCGGTAACTTATAATTCCAGAAAATGAACAACAAAACCGAAGAATTGAATAACACAAAAATTTCCAATAAAATCTGGATAAAAAATGAAAAAACGCGCAGATTTGCATCCGAAACTTAAGTTATAATTCCAGAAAATGAAGAACAAAACCGAAGAATCGAAGAACACAGACAAATTTTAAAAAAATTTCAAAAAAATTCAAAATGAAGAACAAAACCGAAGACAAATTTTAAAAAAATTTCAAAAAAATTCAAAATGAAGAACAAAACCGAAGAACACAGACAAATTTTAAAAAAATTTCAAAAAAATTCTGGAAAAAAAATTTGGACCATTTCTCGATTTGTGCGTGTCATCCTTGCGCAGGGGCCATGCTAATCTTCTCTGTATCGTTCCAATTTTATCGGATGTCCCCGAAGGGACGATCATGTAATCGACTCTAGCGATATATAAACGCAGCTTCTTTTCTTTATCTGAACGATGTGGGACTGTACACAAAGTAAGCAGCTTAAATGGGCCTATTTCTCAAAAGGCTTCCTTTTTATTGTTTGTAAGCCCATTAACGTTATTGACTATATTTTTTCCCTCACTGTTCCGGAAGATTTTAAGCTAGTATATAAAGCTCAATTTCAAATATAATCTTCCTTAACGAAAGACATGAACATTTTCTTTCTTGGGATTAAGATTCAAATATATTCCGTCGGAACTCTAAGGTTGCTTCCAAGAAACCCAGAAATCGTCGCCGTTGTAAAGCCTTCTGCTTTTGCATCTTTGTACTCCACAGTTTCTCGGCAAATCGAAGAACAGCCGAAGAGATACGAGTACCACAATGTTGCTACATGTATCGCCACATTGCAACGGTGTGCGCTGCGCAAAGACGCCGTGTCCGGCGAACAGGTCCACGGTTTCATGGTTAGGAAAGGATTTCTCGATGATTCGCCTCGCGCCGTCACGAGCCTCGTCAATATGTACGCGAAGTGTGGTCTTGTGCGGCGCGCGATCTCAGTCTCCGGTGGATCCGACTCTGAGCGCGATGTGTATGGTTATAACGCCATTATCTCTGGGTTTGTGGCAAATGGGTCTCCTTTCGAAGCGATTGAGATGTACAGAGAAATGAGAGCTAAAGGAGTTTTCCCTGATAAGTATACATTTCCTAGTTTGCTAAAAGGAAGCGATGCTATGGAGACTTCTGATGTCAAAAAGGTTCATGGGTTGGCGTTTAAACTTGGGTTTGATTCTGATTGCTTTGTGGGTAGTGCCTTAGTCGCTTCATACTCGAAGTTCATGTTAATGAAGGATGCTCAGAAGGTGTTCGATGAATTGCCTGATAGAGATGACAACGTTGTTTGGAATGCTTTGATTATTGGGTATTCGCAGATTTTTAGATTTGAGGATGCTTTGATATTCTTCGGTAAAATGCGTGAAGAAGGAGTAGCCCTTAGTAGGCATACCATCACTGGCGTCTTATCAGCATTCACAGTGTTGGGGGATCTTGACTATGGTAGATCGATTCATAGCCTTGCGGTGAAAACAGGATTTGTTTCTGGAATTGTTGTGTCAAATGCCTTGATTGATATGTATGGAAAGAGTAAATGGTTAGAGGAAGCAGTCAAGATATTTGAAGCAATGGATCACGAGAGAGACATATTTACGTGGAACTCGGTGTTATGTGTTCATGATTACTGTGGTGATCATGATGGAACTTTAGCTCTGTTAAAGAGGATGCTTTCTTCCGGAATCCGACCTGATCTTGTTACATTGACAACCGTTCTTCCCACTTGTGGCCGTCTAGCTGCATTGAAGCAGGGCAGAGAGATTCATGGCTACATGATCGTCAATGGGCTTTTGAACCGTAATTCCAATGATGAGTTCATAAACAATTCTTTGATGGACATGTACGCAAAATGCGGAGACTTGAAGGATGCACAGATGGTTTTCGACTCGATGAGGAATAAAGATTCAGCCTCTTGGAATATCATGATTAATGGTTATGGTGTGCAGAGCTGCGGTGAGTTAGCTTTGGATATGTTTTCACGTATGTGCAAAGCAGGTGTCAAACCCGATGACATCACATTCGTTGGGTTGCTACAAGCATGTAGCCACTCGGGCTTTGTGAGCGAAGGGAGAAGACTTCTGTCCCAGATGGAGACAGTATATAACATTGTCCCAACAAGTGATCACTACACTTGTGTGATAGACATGCTTGGCCGTGCAGGCAAGCTAGAGGAAGCATATGAGTTAGCAGTAACAATGCCCGTGGGGGATAATCCTGTAGTTTGGAGATCACTACTTTCATCATGTCGCCTCCACGGGAACACGGATCTCGCACAGGTGGCAGGAAAACGGCTATATGAGCTTGAGCCAGAGCATTGCGGAGGTTATGTATTGATGTCTAATGTGTATGTGGAAGCTGGGAAATACGAGCAAGTGTTGGGAGTTAGAGACGTAATGAAACAACGGAATGTGAAGAAGACAGCAGGTAGCAGCTGGATTGAGGTCAAGAATAGCGTTCACACGTTCTTTACCGGCGATAGGACTCACCCGGAATATGAATCTATCCACACTTGGTTAAGTCTTCTGACTTCTCATATGTGTGGTCATGAGTATATTGGGCTGGACGACTACGAGTGATTTTGGGTAGACATCAGATCCTTCTTTTTGTAACCATTGAGTATAGTTTGTTCTTTTTGGACCTTTGAGTATAATTTACTAATTATGTCGTGCGAAAGACAATCGTTTACGGGCTAGAAAATCTACGAACCAGCCACATTTGGGAACATGGTAAATTTATATTCCGTGGCCATAGCTCTGTATTATTAGCCAAGAGACCAGTTTCGGATAACATTGATTTTTCTTCTTTTGTAATCCTTTGTTCTTTGTCACATAAGAAAGAACAATGGGACCGATCTTGAAAGACCAAAATCTTAATTTCTTTCAACAAGATAGCCACAGAAATTACCTGGATGGATCCAGGCTTGGCAGAGCAGTTTTCGAGAGCACATTTTGGCTTTCGCCGAGACGTTTAGTGGGGTTAAAACTGAACTCTTTTTATTTATTTTTTACTATTACAATCTCAATGTGTTCAAATCAGGCTTGGTCGAATAATACTTACATTACATAAGGACTAACGAGGGGAGTTTCAGGCAATCAATCACCTGACACCAACAAACTGCTAATTCTAAGACATGCCATACCCAACCGTGCCTACGTTCCGGTGTGCTGCTACTGCAACCGCGGCGGCTCCAGCAGGACCATACTGGGATTGTGCCTGGAACAGCTTAGCATCAATACCCACCTTGTGCTGTGATTGTACATAAGGGTTTGGGTTCAGCTCAGCTGGCTTCGCGGAACATTGGGTGGGGACAAACTGCGGCTTTGGCTGGGAAGCAGCTTCTGTACCACCGCGCTTCTCTTGGTTCATAGTGTTAGGATAGAAGAAACAGTTAGGAGATACGGTCTGTGGAGGGAGTACCGTGCTTCTGTAATAAGCTGCCCTTGCATCATAGGACGAATCTTTGAGGTTCTTGTTCATTTCATAAGTTACAGATGATTCCACAGCACGGCCTGGTCTACCTGTTAAAATACAAGGAAGTCGATTGAGTCTAAGAAGAATACCGTGTCTCTATCTGTGGCATCAACCGATGGGAGATAGCTACAAGCCTACAACTTTTCAGCCCCAGAGAAAAAAAGTCAAATGGATTTTTACCTGATGGTACTCTTGGAGGAGGTCCTAAAGATTTAGTTGAATTTGCTGAAACTGATGGAACTACTCCATTTCTTGAAGGCTCGAAAGAACCACGTCGACTATCTGATGCATTCAAGCCAGGTTGAGCATTGGAGGTAACTACACTGGAATGAACTGAAGACCTACGGAGATGAAGATGCATATATATTAGTCATATGCCATACTGAATCAAAATAAGATGTATATTTTCCGCGGTTGATATGAACGGAAGAGAGAACATACCGTGGTAGTGAAGCATGCTTTCTCTCTGGAGGTACGACTGGCCCACTTTTGCCGCTATTTTCTTCTAGGTACGCAAACTGTTTCCTCAGGTGACCAATGGCACTGCAATGTCAAAATCAGCGAAAATTGAATAATCAGAGTTAGTTTAAGGTCTCACATTTATTTTGCTACGAAAGGAAGACATAGGCTATAGATCCAAAGAGGAAGTAAAAACCTAGGATATAAGAAACTTGAGCCTTCAGATCCGTTCATATAATCCTTGAGCAGCTGTGGATGGTATTCTAGTATCTCCCTGTATATTAACTCTCTGATGTCATCTTTTGCCAACCTTCGTCTTTCAAACTCAAATTCCATCTTCGAGATTGGCTGACAAGAAGGTTCTCTTTCAACCTTAGCAAGGCCCTTAAAGTAAGGATCAGCCAGCGCCTGTCAAATTATCACAATGTTAACATCTAAGGAAATGAAATATGAACAAGAGCCTTTTCTGCACTTGAAGCAAGCCGCTTGTTCCAAGAGGGAGGGCATAGTGAATCTAGTGACAAGAGAAATGAAAGAACAGCACCTCTTCAGCAGTCGGCCTATCTTTTGGATCAAAAGCCAACAGTCTTTGCAAAAGGCGCAATGCTAAAGGATCTGCGTTCGGAAACTTTTGCGAAAAGGGGACAAGATTTTTCTTCCTCATTTCGCTCAAGTATCTTCTAGCTTTTTCATTTCGAACCTGCATCAGAGATATATTATTAGTTATGCATGTTTCCTCCCAGCAACCAAAAAAGAAACTTGGTAATGTGGAAGCAAAAAGAACTTACTCCAGCAATGGTCTCTGATTTTGGTGTGCCAAGAAGATCGGTAATCAAATCTAACTGATGGACGACACTTTTTCCAGGAAACAAAGGCTTCCCTAATAAAACTTCCGCAAAGATGCAGCCAATGCTCCAAATATCAATAGCTGGAGTATACTGCAAAAGATGAATACTGCGAGTCAGACTATTGAGCAGATGAAAAACGTGCAGCTTGCGAAGAGAAACAACTCAAACGAGCATAGCCTAACACAAGTGTTGGTCGAGGTTTTCAACTTTTGGGAGAGTTAAAATCCTCCTAAGCAGGAAATATTTTAATACGGTGATTCATTCTATCCCCGCAGCTCTTAAATTATAGAGTACCAGTCATATCTCTAACATTTTTTCACATAGACTCTACACCAAAACCTTTAACATTTACAACCACACAGAAAAGGCAGAAAGCCCACAAGGAAGAAGAAGAAGAAGAATAACCCGTACCTTAGAACAGAATGATCCACAGAGCTCAGGTGCTCTGTACCACCTTGTGGCAACATAATCCTGGAACAAGGAAGACAGAGAAGGAAATTCAAACACACTGGAGAGATTACCAAAACTGAATAGATAATTAACAGAAAGGTAGCGACAAGTGTGCAGACCGTCCAAAAGACTGTTGTAGGCGTATCATTGAACGACACTCTTGCTAGTCCAAAGTCGCAGACTTTCAACTTGCAGTTTGCATTTGCCAGTATGTTCTTCGGTTTAAGATCACGATGGTAAACATTAGCTGCACCCAGACGGAAACCAGTTAGTTATGAAAGTACTAAAGATTGTGAAATTTCAGAGGGTTAAAGAATAAAAATCTACCTGTATGCATATACTTCAAGGCACGAAGCATCTGATAAAGGAAAAACTGGTGATGTTCCCGTGTCAAGTCATCGTTGGCTTTGATGACTTGATGTAGGTCTGATTCCATGAGCTCAAAGACCACATAAATGTCTTTGAACTCCCTCTTCGAAGGTGGCAGCATGATGCTTTTGATTTCAACTATATCTGGGTGCCTTAGGAGCCTGAGAAGCTTGACCTCACGAAGGATACGGAGAGCATCAGAGACATGTTCAAATACATCATTGATCTTCTTTATGGCGACTTTCTCTCCTGTATGTGTATCAATAGCTGCACAAACAACTCCGTAGCTTCCTTTCCCAATGACTTCAAGAATCTGATAACGGTTGGCATCACCATACTCAGTGAAAAATTCCATCTCTTTCATGTTCTGTTTGGTCACCAAAGTAAAGAATTAGCACAAAATTCATCAGAATCCAGTAAAATTATGCCAAGAGAAATGAATCATGAGTTCTGAAAACGAAGATCTCCGATGAATCACATTTACTAAAGTACTCAAATTAAATAACATTTCGCAGAAACGAAAGCTTTCTCCGAGAAAAAAAAAAAAAGAAAGAGAAATCAAGCGAGAGACCAACCTTCTTGCCCTGACCTTGTTGCATCCTCTTCAAAGAAAAATAAAAAACTCGAGTCTTCCCAGATTATTCGACGAACAAAAATGGCAAGAAAAAAGATAACGCAGACTGAGTTTCTCAGAAACTAATAAGTGAAAAGGTGACCAAGTTCGACCAAATCAGAGAACAATACCGCTCAACAACCCTATCGCCTTCCTCAGTTTCAAAATCCGAAACTCAGCAACTTAAATCCCCCTCAATATGATCTCGGAAGAGATCGCAATAAACAAAGAAATTAGTGATCAAAGAAAATGGCGATTCTTCGAATCACAGAATCAAAAATTTAAAAAATTCCAGATACCAAAACCCGATCGAAAATTTCGAGAAACCCTAGATTAGAACTCCAAAAGCAAGCGAACTCCACAGACTCCTACGCAAAATCGAGAGAGAAGAGATGAGAAAATCTAAATCCTCAAGATTTTGCGATCGGAAAAAAAAAAGATGATAGAAAATCTGTAGATCACAAATGTTTATATATACCGATTTGATTTCTTTTTTTCTTTCCGTGTATTCTAATTTTGTAGTTTCCTCAAAAATATATATTCCTAAATTTAGCAATTTTCGTGGTACTTATTGCGTACGTGAGACAGGTCACGAGGACTTTGCAAATGGGATTATCGTAATTCTCTACAACTCTGAGCCTTGTTAGTTTCGTTTGGTACACTGTCGGTGATCTTTTTGAGATTGACCCGTTGTGAGGCAACTACCGATGGACCGTTTTACTATTTAAATATTTCTATGTTGCACCCTCATATTATTCCATAAATTAAAATTCAGCCACTCTTTTTCTGAACATGGAATATTGAGCCACATCTGATTATCTTAATTGATAGTTTATTGACTCTTTTGGTAATATTCTTTACAGCTAATTTTACCAAACATTTGTTTTTTTATCAACAGGGTAGATCTCAGAAAGTTAAGTAGTAAGTTGTTCGTTTGATCTCTGTCATTTGATGTTATTGATTTCTGTAAAAATTACTTTGATTAAACAGAACATAGTAAATCCAATAAGTTTATATATAGCCGTAAAACTTACATAACCATTGTTATTTGTTAACGTTTCACGTGTATACACATGGCGCGATTTAATTAGCATGAATGCATGATATAAACAAACTTTTCAGTTTTCTGGGAGTTGTCTAAATATAATAATACTAGTAATTAGTATTTACATATTTGATCAAATGAGAAAACTTAAAGTGTCAAAAAAATACAGTAGGATAATGACTTCCGCAAGCGACCTTGCTGTTGTTGCCGCTAGGATGTTAAGATCAGATAAAATAAGATTGCGAGTCTCATTGGTCTTTATGACGCTTTCTCAAGAAAACTAACGATGACTTGATTATAAACATTATAAGACTTGTGAAAAATAACAGATTGTTGATTTCTCAGATCAATCATACCTTCATTTCTAACGTTCTATGGATGTATTTTGTATCATGCCTCTTAAATGTTTGAACTGGCTTATACAAACATATAAATAATATATTTGAAGTATTTTAACATATGGGTGAGATGCAAAGTCGGTCCATTAGCCAAAGCATGAAAAAGACAGATTTACATATCACGGATGATAAAAGAATCTCGAATCTTAAGCCACATAAATAATATATATAATTCAATATAACAATGTAAGGCAAGGTGTCAAATAAGTGACAATATTTTATCATTTAAACTAAAGCTGATCTTTCATTTTCCATCACACTTTCTTCGTTGTGGTGACCTTCTTTTAATAATAAAATCTACAAGTTTAGTGGTCGTTTTTTTTGAACCTGTCAATAAGCTATTTATCAAATTTATACTATTATATTGGAAACGTGTAAAGTCGATATCACTAAAGCTGATTAGCCTAATTGCGCTTTGTAAAACTCGCTTATCTCAAAAATGTTCCATACAGTTGATATTTGATATTTGCTCACCAATAAGTTTCGAGAATTTTGAGTTCTAGTTTTCAACATGACATATAAGTCAATCAAAACTTTTTTTTTGGTACCGAGTCCCTGACCTGACACAGATTTAATACCCTTGAAGCTCTTTTAGTACGGTTTCAGATAAAGCTAGATTGTGTTGTTTGACATCTTTATTTTTAAGGTGAACCGTACTTGATTTCAGTTTTCTGGTTTTTTGCTAGTCCATTGATTAACAAAAATTTCTCATCAGTCTAATTAACAAAGACAGGTTAAAAACAGATTAGAACAGCAAATAGAACAGAAATTTTACTAGAATCGAGTACTGCCGTTTTTATTTGTTTTCATCCACATTGCCGTTTTAAAATCATCAAAACAGGGCATAGGACAAATTTCACCACACGGAAAATTTAGAACTTTTGTTTTTATTCTAAAGTGGTAATTAGAAGAGCCGAAATATCTCCGCCAAGGAGATTTTTTTCTTGTTTTGTTTGGTGACCTTCAAAGAATCAACGAACCTTATTTATAGTTTAATTTAATATTAAAAGCACATCACTATCAAAATTATTATACTAATAAGTTTGTGCACCTATTACATCAAATAAAAGAAAGTATCTTTCACGCATAACTCCAAAACAACTTTTTCAATCTTTAGGCTATAGAAACAGAGGACCATGACTTAAATATAAACAATTTTATGAGATTTGGTCTACTATTAATATTATTATTATACAAAAAATGATGCAGAAAACATTTAGTATAAAATAGAGTTGATAAAAGAAAGACAAAAGAGGATGCTGCATCATATTATAATGCATGGTAGTGGTCCAGTGACTGTGACTGTAGCACAAGAGGTTGCCTGTGGTTAAGGGCACATCAACACTTGTGTTTGTCTTTAACTTGTCCAAAGGCATATTCTTTTCTTTGAAACAGAGAATCCACATAGAGTTTTCTAATATCAAAGTTCCACAGAGAATCGAAACAAAGATGATATATAATTTTGTTTTGCCGTAACCCACAAGGAACTCAGGGGTTTGAAAAGGTCAACTTTTAATCATTGGAACAAGACAGAGGCATGAGGTGAGGCTTTGGGATAAGACAAGACTAGTTCTTTACCTTTCTTTGTGATTGGCCGGGCCGTGGAAAGGACGACTGATTCAAGAATCTCGGCGTTTGCAATCACATGCCTCAACACTGATAGTTTCGGCTCATGCATCCTGAAATCCCTGAATTGCAAGACTTTGAGCATTGTTCTAACGCAGTCCGGTGCTGTTTGCGAACGCAACTCGTTCAAGCGCATTTTACTAGGTTTTATTCGAGGAGACGTCGTGTCCTGGTGGGGTTTCACCGGAAAGACGAAATTTAAACAAGATAAACGATATATGGGGTGGTGTTAAAAAACATTCGATAAATAATTATAATATTGACTTACGCGGATGCTGAGTATCTTGAGTATTGGTGCGGATTTGAGGACCCTCCTGAATATATAAGGCTGTGTCATGTCGTATGCAAGATGCAGGTAAACCAACTGTTTGAATTTTGGCATTGTCGTTAGTTGAAAATCCCTGGTAAGCTAAGAAGGACACCAAGATAAAAACAAGACTTATTAAGTGAATTACGTCGTCGAAACAACAGATTCAAGGGAAGATATGTAATGTAACTAACCTCAAGACCCAAACTCTTCACGCATGTGAAGGCATGTAGAAACTTGGGCCAGTGTGATAGATAGGGCCACTTTGCTCCGCTGAGATCAAGATAAGCATCAGGTAAAGACGTGGGAAATGTCAGAAACATGTTTTCGTTACCGTCCCCTGAGAATGTGATCTTCTCAAGCTTTGAAGAAAATATACTGATCGTACACACTCCATCGTCACTCGGAACGTGTTCAGAGCTACACTTTAAAAACTCGAAGACCCTGAGCAACGGAGAGTCTATAACGACGGTATCGGTTCTAAACCAGCAGCAGCGAGAGACTTCGAAAGTTTCCAAGACGGGAAAGTAGAGAAAGATGTTCTCGGAGACGGACGACATGTTGAAGATTCTAGCGTCCTCGAGGCTAAAGAACTTGAGTGTCGGGAGAAGAGCTGGAGCCGAAATGTCAAGAATGCACTTTGTACGTAGCCTCAGTTCCACGAGAGAGCCAAAACTAGCAAAGAGTGGAGACAAAATGTCACTTTCAAGCTCGTACCAAGTGATAACGAGTTTCTGAAGACTACGCTGGTTTATAAGGTTTGATAACCACGAGACGAGAGGAGTCTCATCGTAAGCATTAACAGAATGTAGATGGAAACTGTTGATTTTTGGACTTTCAATGTCTCGAATCACATGGTCGACGAATTCGATAAATCCATGATCCTTCGGTTCACTGTGCCTCATGTCATCAAAACGTAACTCTGTGACGTTGGTCCATATGGTCCTCCATGTCTTTGATAATACACAAGTCCTAACAGCTTCCACAGTTGGAAGATGGCTCAAAATCATGCTAAGAATGCTATCAGGCAAATCGCTGATTTTATCATTACGGTTCTGATTACTACATAGCTGAGTTTTCTTGGAAGATGGAGGCATCGTCTCTTACTAGGCTTGTTTTGACTCGGGATGCATTGATTTTATCTCCCTGATACAGCCGGAAAAAAAAAATCAAGGAGTGCGAAACACGTTAGGTCATAGTGAAAAGAAAAAGGAATATAGGTGAAACCAATGTAAGTTTTTATGTGCAAAAAAATATCAAATCTATGAAATTCTAGCTAAAAGACATAGAGATGTATATATATCTAAAGAGACGTTTAAGATTAGAGAACAATGTAAGGACTCTTCAATTCTGCATGAATTTGTCTCAGTCTTTGCACAGCTCTATATGCAAATTCTATGTGTTTTGGGTTATCTTCATGTTTCCTCTTCCGTTTCTCTTGCTTCCTCGCCCCAGGTTTCTTCCCATGGAACTGGTGACACAGTGCCCGATACGCTTCTTTCGTAGACAATATCCTGCCATGCTCATCAACCCTGTCAATCCGAATATCCTTGAAAGCATCTCTGAATCTGTCGTCTTCATGATTATTGGCCCTAACACCTACAAGCTTTCTTTTCTCCTTGAAAGTTCCTTGCTCTCTAAGTAGTTTTAATGCGCCGAATAATCCTGTACCGACTTCAACCTCACGCATCACTCCATCTCTAGCGCTAGGACGATCATTAATCTCTTCAGCTTTGGAACAAACCCTTTGAACCACATCTCTCCGCCTCTCTGATGATTCAAGCCTCTTTTTCTCATCAAATCTTGAAGAACCAAGTTCCTGATCAGCTTCAAGTCTTGAAGCAAGACCTTCTTTTTTTGGAGCAATATTTATAACTAATTTCTTATTCTTCCTCATCGTATTCTTCTTCAAAGCAATATTGAGCTGAGACATGGCTTATGAAATCCCCACTGATGAGACCCCCCCCCCCCCCCCAAATTTGTAAATTGATACGGATAAACTCAATCGCTAAAAATTCTAAATACCTTGTGATATACTGTATGTACAAGAGATAGAGATCTAGGTTATATTGACAATAACGAAACTATCCTAATTAGAATCCTAACTAGAATAGGAAAAGTAATTTTCAAATACAGTACCTTATGAATATGTATTCAAAAAAGGAATAGATCAGAGAAAAGGAAATCTCCAACTTCCACTTCAATCACATAAACATCTGCAACATTCAAACAAAAAACGATGTAATAAGAACCCTTATATTGATAAAAATCGAAATATCATAGAAGAATGTTGAAAGAAGAATGGCAGAGAACTTACGAGGCAGCTGGGTAGCTAACTTGGATGAATTTTCCAATTTCTTGCGCCGCAATTAAATAATGAAACCGCTTTTGTAAACTACTTGTCTTGTAAGTAATTGGATTGTTCGGTCAATCATTTAAGCCCATATTGATTTCTTTTTTAAATTACTAAAGGCCCAAAATAGAATCAGAATAAGAGGCCCATCACGAGGCTTTAGTTTAGAAACTTTTCACATCGGTTTCGTCTTCCTTCCTTTTGTTCTTCCGGCACTTTTTTTATTTCCTGAATCAAAAACTCGTTTTTGAATGAAATCCGCTCGAAGAAAGAATGATGGAAAATACCGGAGGAATCGCAATGAGCTGCACGAACAAAAAAGATGGATTTCATTAAGGCACTTAGATTTTGTACTGCTTCTGTTACTGTGTCTGAGGAGGAAGCTGCCAACTACAATTTCAGGACATGGATTGCTCGGTTTTACACCAAAGGTACTTGCTTTCGACGATTCTGAGGCTTCTTGTTCTTCTGTGTTCTACCTGATTTTGTCTATTTTCTGGGATTATTTACCTGGCTAAGTTAATTGGCTTGACATTGCTGCAGGGGAATTGAAATTTGAGATAGACCATAGAGAACCGAGAATGTAAAACATTTGGTACTATAGATATCTCGGTGAATGCATGGAAATATGGAATGGTTGATACTTTCATCTTATGATAGTAGAATAAATGGAATGGAACATTCGTTTGCAGCCAAGGAAAGACCTCTAGAAAGTAGAAGCTTTTAGTCTGAGTTCTTCTACTTGAACTGCTCTCGTTTGGATAATGATAGGAAGATATTCTTGAAAAAAAGTAAATCCAAAAAATATTAGGACTGAATCTTGGAATCTAGGAACGTGCTCTAACTTTCCCTTCATTTCTGTAAATCGAATCTTATTTATCCTACGTATAACAAGTTCATTTGAAAATATTACATGGGGTTATGGAATTATAGCTTGTGCAGGATAAGATGAGCACCAAACTGTGGGTGAATGGTGAATACTGTGTATGGCGCATGAACATAGGAAGGAGATAGCTCCAAGGAGAATCTGTGTAGGATCAATGCCATTGCCATCTTTGCCTCCAACAGAGCAAAATTCTGGCCTATGCATATCCTCGGTCCCCATCCAAAGGGAAAGAAAGAGACTTGGCTCTTTGTTGCCTTTGAGATCCCTTCTTGAAACCTCTCGGGCTTGAATTCCGCTGCATCTTTGCCCCATAGCTCCGTGTCGCGCTGGACGAGCAGAATAGGTAGACTGATCTGAACGCCGCCTGGTAGTGTCAGGTCGCCTAGCTTCATCTCTTTGTGAATGGCTCGGGTCAGCTGGTTTACTGGAGGATATAGCCTAAGGACCTCATAGAATATCATCGTCATCTGTTTAGAAACATTCAGCAGAAACATCATAACACAGCAAAAGTAAGGAAATCACCTGAATGTTGGTTTGTAATGCGTTCTATACTTACAACTTTGAGCTGGTTAAGGCCTTCTGTATCAGGTTCTTTATCACCGAAAACTTGCTTCACTTCTTCTCGGGCACGAGCCTGCCAGTCTTGGTGTTGGCTTAACAGAACCATTGTCCAGACCAGAAGTACTGAAGTTGTCTCCTGCCCGGCGAAATAGAACAACTTGCACTCCTCCATCACATCCTCAGTGCTCATTCCATTTCCTTTGGCTTGCCCCAAATTCGATTCAAGAAGTATACCCAGTAAATCGTTGCTTGGTGCTTCCCCAGCTTCTCTCGCCCTTAACCTTTTGTTAATAATACCACTCAGTATAATTTGGATTTCTCTGGCTGCTGCTTTTATCCTTCTATTACGTTTCGTTGGGAGAAATCTACGCAAGAAAAAAAGAACAAAGAATATGACACAACATGAATCATGTCTCCTAATAGATTGCAGTGCTAAAAGACCAAGGGTCAAGTCAGGCAAGTTGAGGTTTTATTACCTGTATCCAGGGATGAACGCTGTCTGAACAGATAATGTAATGAGCTGTGCTAGTTCCGCTTGGAGCTCAAATATCCTCTGCCCTTCTTTGTAGCTGCTGCCAAAAGCAGTACGAGAGATCACATCTGCAGTCATACTCATAAGCCAAGGCCAAACGTCCACCTCACAGGACGAGCCTTTATCCGACACTAACTTGTCCCATTCGCCAATAACCTCGCTGCAGGTCTGGTGGAACGCAGGTACCATATTCTATACACATAGAAGAAGCAGAAGGCACAAATTGAGTCAGATCCAAATGAACATACATACATAAAGCAGGCTACTATGAAAAACAAAGCTGAAACCTTGATCTTCTCAAGGTGGAAAGCCGGGTTGATGATTCTTCGGTGATTTGCCCATTTATCACCGTCATAACTAAAGAGTCCAGTGGCTATCAATCTGCCCAAAGGGAATGTATGTGGCTTCTGGAAATCATAAATTTTGTTGAAGACTTCCTTGATTTGCTCAGGATCCATTATGGTGATAACTGGTATATGTCCACGCCATGTAAAGAAAGTCCTTCCTGTTCCAGTCACATAGAGATGCAAAAGTTGAAACCTTTGTCTAGATCAGGTACTCTGCATCATTTTTTTTTTTTCGTTCTTCTTCTTGTTTTTTCTATCTCTAGGTTCTTAACAGATAGGAATCAAGAAACATACCGTACGTCTTGAGCATGTGCAAGGAGAAAGGCAAGACACGTGGGATGATATCATCCGTAAGATTGATGGGTTTGGACCTTGCCTCCATTGACATGTTAAAAGTCCTCTTGGAATCGCCGGCAAGAGGCGTGTAAGGAGTTCCGACTAGACCCTGTCTCCTCAGGTAACTCTCAAGCGTCTTAGGTTTAAACCAAACCCAATTCAGAGTTCTCCATACCCACCAGGACACAACAGCTATAGCTACTGAAACTGTTACCGATGCAGCTGATATTTCCATTTTTTCTTTCCCAGAGAAGAGAGGGTGTGAGAGAGAGAGATGGATAAATAGATAATCTGCTGACATTCGCAATTACTATTATTATATAATTGAGAATTTCCAAGATATGGATGTGGTGATGACATCACCCCTGATGTCTTAGATACTTTATATTTTGCGTCTCAGACAATCATTTTGTGGAGACCGTTGATTTTTGGCCACGAATGTGCAAAGAAACAAATTTGTAATTGTGTGAAAACTGGCCATAACTTGTGTAGGGGGAAAGGTTGAAACGTCAACCTTTGACACTTCTTTGTCCGCCACCAATGGTTGGTTTTAAACGTGAATGCCATTGTATATGTGACCAAGTACTTTTTGTCCCTCAAACTTTTGTATGAATATTATATTTTACAAAATTTTCATATTTATTATAACGACTTTTAATCAAGATAAGGGGAAATAGATATAATCGGAAACAAACTATATTGTGGCACTATATTGGTGGGGTGAATTTTCATTAGCTCGAAACAGGATTCCTCGTGACAGACCTTTGAGTAAATTATGGCACTCCTTTCGTTTGATGGAGGAGAAGAGGAGCGCCAAACTGTGGCTGAAGCGTGATGACTGTGTAAGGCGCATGAACATAACATGGAGAGAGCTCGAAGGAGAATCTCTGTAGAATCAATGCCATTGCCATCTTTGCCTCCAACAGAGCAAAACTCTGACCAATGCAGATCCTATGTCCCCAACCAAAGGGGAAGAAAGAGACCTGGTTCTTTGTTGCTTTTGAGATCCCTTCTTGAAACCTCTCGGGCTTGAACTCTGCTGCATCGTCTCCCCACAGCTCAGTGTCACGTTGGACAAGTAGAACAGGCAGAGTGATCTGAACACCACCTGGTAGTGTCAAATCTCCGAGCTTCATCTCTTTGTGAATGGCTCGATTCAGCTGTATTACTGGAGGATATAGCCTAAGGACCTCATAAAATATCATCGTCATCTGTTTAGAAACATTTACAGAAAATCATAAGAAAAAAAACACTCACAACTTTGATCAAGGAAACGTCGTCACTCTAAGGTTATTGCTTGATTTTCACTTACAACTTTGAGTTGGCTCATGCCTTCTGTATCAGGTTCTTTATTGCCAAACACGTGCATCACCTCTTGAAGTGCACGGGCCTGCCAGTCTTTGTGTTGGCTTAACAAAACCATTGTCCAAACCAAAAGTACTGAAGTTGTTTCTTGCCCGGCTATGTAAAACGACTTGCACTCATCCATCACATCCTCAATGCTCATTCCATCTCCTTGAGCTTGTCCCAAATTTGATTCAAGAAGTATACTCAGCAAATCATCGCTCGGTGCTTCCCCTGCTTCAATGGCTATTTCCCGATTACTAATAGTCCTTCTCAGGACAGCTTTGATCTCTTTGTCTATTGCTATCATCCTTCTGTTACCCTTCGTTGGAAGATACCTAGAGAAAAAGAATGAGAATGCATAAACGTGTCTCAGGTAGTATTTACCGGTAAAAGACCAAAGGGAAATGCGAATTTTACTGCCATCCAGGGATGTATGATTTCTGAACAGATAGTATGATAAGCTGTGCTAGTTCTGCTTGAAGCTGAAATATTCTCTGCCCTTGTTTATAACTGCTACCAAAAGCAGTACGAGAGATTACATCCGCAGAAAGATTCACTAGCCATGGCCAAACATCGACCTCACACGAAGACCCTTGATCCGAAACTAGCTTCTCCCATTCACTCACAACCTCGATGCAGCTCTAATGAAACGCAGGTACCATTTTCTACACAATAAATTAAAGAATCTTTCAGCCTTAAAGATACATATTATTAAGTATCTAACATGATCTTTGGACAATGAAGAAACCTTGATCTTCTCACGGTGGAAAGCCGGGTTGATAATTCTCCGGTGTTTGGCCCATTTATCTCCATCAGAGAAAACCAGTCCAGTGGCTATTAATCTAACCAATGGGAGTGTATGCGGCTTCTGAAAATCGTAAACTCTGTTGAACACTTGTTTGATCTGCTCTGGATTCATAATTGTGATGATTGGTATAGGACCAAGCCATGTGAAGAAAGTCCTTCCTGTTGTTACACTCACACACAACAAAACATCAAATCAGTTCTATAAAAATTGGGTTTTTTTTATAGCTACAGTTGTAAACGCATAAGGAAACAAACGTACCGTGGGTTTGGAGCATGTTTAAAGTTACAGGCATCACACGTGGGATGATATCTTCTGTTAGTAGATTGATGGGTTTGGATCTTGCCTTCATTAAAACTCTGAAGTTCCTCATATCTCCGACAAGAGGCGTGTAAGGAGTTCCTGGTAGACCCTGTGCTCTCAAGTAACACTCCAACATCTTAGGTTTTAGCCAGACCCACTTCAGAGTTCTCCATGTCCACCACATCACAATAGTTACAGTTATGTAATATACAACAAACATCTCCATTATGTCAGAGGAAGAGAGAGTGAGTGACATAAACTCTTGCAAAGCTTTATGTTGGATATTTCCCTCCTTAGCTGGATATTTCTCTCTTTAGCCAAAGACAAGAAATAAGCATGTGATAATTATGACTAAATTAGAATAATCTAGAATTATGAAGAAGAGAAGAAAATATCTAGATTAAGATAATGATGAGAAAGTACTCTAGAATTCTCTAATATGTCGGTCATCTCTATTATAAATACAAGGGTAGAGTAGCATTTGTAAAATGATCTCATCAAGAGAAAGAGAGAAAACCTATAAGAGTGTTCACACTAAAAATCATCTCTTTGTAATCCCTTTCCTTATAATAAAAGAAGTTGTTTCTTAAATCTTTAGTTATCTAACTCCCATCTTAGACACGAGAGAATATTATAGAGGATAAGTTTCCCATAGACGGATAACTTTCCCAAAGCTGCTCTGAAAGAAGATCTTGGCAAATGGTTTGCTATGAAAGATTTGGGGCCAGCAAGAAAGATCCTTGGGATGAATATCACTCGTGATAGATCCAAGAAGGTGTTATGGTTATCCCAAGAAGGATATATTGAGAAAGTATTGGAGAGATTCAATATGCACAAGGCAAAACCAGTACGCACTCCTCTTGCTGGACATTTCAAGCTAAGCTCAGAGCAAAGTCCAACAAATGAGAAAGAAAAGGAGGAAATGAAGAGTATCCCGTATGCATCAGCTGTTGGCAGTCTAATGTATGCTATGGTATGTACAAGACCAGACTTAGCCCATGCAGTAGGAGTTGTTAGCCGCTTTCTAGCCAATCCAGGAAAGGAGCATTGGAAAGCAGTTAAATGGATTCTCCGCTATCTACGAGGCACGACTAAAAGGTGCATATGCTTTGGTAATGGAAAACTTGAGCTGAAGGGTTACACTGATGCAGACTGGGCCGGTGATAAAGACTCCAGGAAATCAACTTCAGGGTATGTAATTACCTTTGCAGGGGGAGCTGTTTCCTGGCAATCAAAACTACAGAAGTGTGTTGCCTTGTCTACTACTGAAGCAGAGTACATCGCAGCAACCGAAGCCTGCAAGGAAATGTTATGGATGAAGAACTTCTTGCTTGAGTTAGGAGTAAAGCAAGACAAATACATTTTGCTATGTGACAACCAGAGCACTATTCACCTAGCAAAGAATTCAACTTTTCACTCCCGCTCAAAGCACATCGATACTCGACATCATTGGATCCGAGAAGTTCTTGAAAAGAAGCTCCTACATCTCGACAAGGTACACACAGACGAAAACTGGTCAGACTTTATGACCAAGGTGTTACCAATCAAGAAGTTTGAAGATTGTTGTGAAGGCACCGGCATCGTGATAACTTCAAGCTAAGTCGGGAAGGGGGAGATTTGTTGGATATTTCCCTCCTTAGCTGGATATTTCTCTCTTTAGCCAAAGACAAGAAATAAGCATGTGATAATTATGACTAAATTAGAATAATCTAGAATTATGAAGAAGAGAAGAAAATATCTAGATTAAGATAATGATGAGAAAGTACTCTAGAATTCTCTAATATGTCGGTCATCTCTATTATAAATACAAGGGTAGAGTAGCATTTGTAAAATGATCTCATCAAGAGAAAGAGAGAAAACCTATAAGAGTGTTCACACTAAAAATCATCTCTTTGTAATCCCTTTCCTTATAATAAAAGAAGTTGTTTCTTAAATCTTTAGTTATCTAACTCCCATCTTAGACACGAGAGAATATTATAGAGGATAAGTTTCCCATAGACGGATAACTTTCCCTACACTTTATTGGTCTTTAAATAACGAGAGTTGAAGGTGGTAATGTCTTAGATATTTTAAGTTTGAAGATTTAGTTATAGTCTATAATTTAGTTTTTTTTTGGTGACTGTTGATTTTGGCTTTTACTCCGAGCCAAATTCTTTGTCATACAGGCCAAATACCAAACCCCTTGTCTCTACTAATTGTGAGTCTTTATCATAAATCTCGATGTTCTTATATCAGTTCCAAGTTTATTTGGTAATGTTATGTGGGAATCAGTTTTCGAAAAAATTGCAATAGATTATTTGTAGTTTTTTTTTTGTTATTTGTTTTAACTTAGTGTAAACACCGAATTATTAGGGCAGGTGAATAATCGAGTTAAACCAGCTCTTGTTGTAATGTCTCCAAGATGTGTAGCCAACGGTTTTTGTCATTAACTGAAAGAGGCGGGGAAAATAACATATCGGCTCAGGATTAAACGACATCGTTTTGGTAAGCGAGAAAAAATAATAAACAACGCTTATCCTTCTTCAACGTCGTCGTTCGCCGGCGTCCAGACCAGAACCTTGGCGAATCGCGCCGTAAAACCCTCGATTTGTTCTCTTGTCTGTCTGAAAACAGGGTTTTGGAGATTTGGGTTTCAGCGAGTTGCTCGGAATGGGATTCTTCGTTTTTCTCGGGGAGCGATTGATTTGGAGAATCTCAATTGTTGTTCTCAATCTATCTGTGTGGGTGATCTGTTTTGAAATGTCAAGAGATTCTAATATTTTGTCGAGCAATGTTGAGGCTAAAATCGCGACGTAATCGACCTGTTTGATTGGTATTGCATGTTTGGTTACAAGGTTGCCGCCAGAGTAGGAGTCGTTGATGAAGAACAAATACATGGCGAGTCTTATGAGGATTCTGCACGATTATTGTCTCGTGTTACTCGAAATTGCTGTTCTTTAAAAAATTGAGTCTTTAGTTTCGCAATAGAGATTTGTTCTGTGAGAATCACTGCTCCAAGGGTTTTAATCTGTGAGATTGCTAGTTCTGAATAGAATAAAGATTTGAGTTTTGTATTATGATACAGACTTGTTTCATCTGTGTATTACAAGTTTATCTGACAACAACACAAGGGGTAATAGGACTAGAGCTTGTGTAGGATAAGCTGAGCACCGAACTGTGGATGAATTGTGATGACTGGGTAAGGCGCATGAACATAGGAAGGGGAAAGCTCGAAGGAGAATCTCTGTAGAATCAGTGCCATCGCCATCTTTGCCTCCAATATGGCAAAATTCTGGCCAATGCATATCCTCGGTCCCCACGTAAAAGGAAAGAAGGAGACTTGGCTCTTTGTCGCCTTTGAGAGACCTTCTTTGAACCTCTCAGGCTTGAACTCTGCAGCATCGTCGCCCCATAGCTCCGTGTCACGTTGGACTAGCAGAATAGGTAGACTAATCTGAACACCGCCTGGTAGTGTCAGGTCGCCTAACTTCATCTCTTTGTGAATGGCTCGTGTCACCTGTGTTACCGGAGGATATAGCCTAAGGACCTCGTATAATATCATCGTCATCTGCAAAGGCACCAAATCATTCAGAAATAATCGTCAAGACACAACAAGAGTGTTGAAGTCACTTGAATGTTTATATAATTCGGTTCTATACTTACAACTTTGAGCTGGTTAAGGCCTTCTGCATCCGGTTCTTTGTCACCAAAAACTTGCTTCACTTCTTCTCGTGCACGAGCCTGCCAGTCTTGGTGTTGGCTTAACAAAACCATTGTCCAGACCAGAAGTACTGAAGTTGTCTCCTGCCCGGCGAAGTAGAACAGCTTGCACTCCTCCATCACTTCCTCAGTGCTCATTCCATTTCCTTTGGCTTGCCCCAAATTCGATTCAAGAAGTATACCCAGCAAATCGTCGTTTGGTGCTTCTCCAGCTTCTCTCGCCGTTAACCTTTTGTTTACAATCCCTCTCAGTATAATTTGGATTTCTCTGGCTGCTGCTTTCATCCGTCTATTACCCTTTGTTGGGAGATAACTACGCAAACAAAAGAATAGAGAATATCAATCTCTAATAGATTGCAGCACTAATAGTCAAGTTCTTAAGGCCTTGTTTTAAAACCAGAAAGTTGAGGTTTTTCATTACATATATCCAGGGATGAAAGCTTTCCGAAAAGCTTGTATGATGAGCTGTGCTAGTTCTGCTTGGAGCTCAAATATCCTCTGCCCTTCTTTGTAGCTGCTGCCAAAAGCAGTACGGGAGATCACATCTGCAGTCATACTCACAAGCCAAGGCCAAACATCCACCTCACATGAGGACCCTTTATCCGAGACTAACTTGTCCCATTTGCCTACGACCTCGCTGCAGCTCTGGTGGAAAGCAGGTACCATATTCTAATACATAGAAGCATAAGTCACTAATATGGTCAGGCAAATGGTATTTAAACTAATCTAACCCTGTTTCAGGGTGCTATGTAATAGAAGTCAAAACCTTGATCTTTTCAAGGTGGAAAGCCGGGTTGATGATTCTCCGGTGTTTCGCCCATTTATCACCATCATAGTTAGCGAGTCCAGTGGCTATCAATTTGCCTAATGGGAATGTATGCGGTTTCTGGAAATCATAAACTTTGTTAAACACTTCCTTGATTTGCTCAGGATCCATTATGGTGATGGTTGGTATAGGTCCAAGCCATGAAAAGAATGTCCTTCCTGTTCCAACCACAAAGAGATATACGAAAGTTGAAACCTTTCAAAATATTCTGCAACAGTTTTGATGTTCTCTACATCCCTTAGTTGTAAACAGAGAGGAATCAAGAGCTATAAGCTAATCAGGAAACATACCGTGAGTCTTGAGCATTTGCAAGGGATAAGGCACGACACGTGGTGTAATATCATCCGTTAGTTTGATGGGTTTGGATCTTGCCTCCGTCAACATGCTGAAATTCCTCTTCAAATCTCCGACGAGAGGCGTGTAAGGAGTTCCGGAAAGACCTTGTCTTCTCAGGTAACTCTCAAGCATCTTTGGTTTGAACCAAACCCACTTCAAAATTCTCCATATCCACCACGACACAACAGCTATAGCTATTGAAACTGTCACTGATGATAACTCCATTTTCTCGTCCAGAGAAAAGAGAGAAGAGATAGAGAGTTGCTTAATCTGCTAACATTATCGGAATTTAAATACTGAGAATTTCGGTGAAGATATTGGTGTTGTGATGATATCACCCTGATGTATTACATACTTTAGTCTTGAATAGCTTTATATTTTGTGTGTCGGCCCAAATATTTTGTTTGAATTTTGATCTTTTGCTTTATTTGGAGCCTCACAGTTAAATGCCACGAAGGCAATTCCCATTTGGACATGTGTGGAAACTGAAAAGTGACAAAAAGAGGAAGAAGAAACATATTTGTCATCCTTTGAGTGGTGGGACGTTTCTTTGTCCATAGTCATTACCATCCATGCGATTTTTCACCATAATAACGTAGAAATAATTTGTTCTGTCAAGACAGAAAATAAAAAGGAAACGTTACTTGAAGCTTTGTATTTTCTCTGGTAAGCTCTTGCATGTTTTGTCAGATATTATCATTATCAAGTTTTTGTAGCTTAGAATAAATGGAGTGTAAGTAGTTTGTAACATTCTTTGGTAGACAGGGGAAACCTCTGGAGAGTAGCTTTGAATTTGAGTTCTGGTTTTACTGCAAGCAATGGAACTTCGTCTCTTTTACTTCATATTGGGTCTTAGTTTCACTACACAAAGGGTTCTTATTTTATTTTAAACTTACTACACATTAATCTATGAGACACAATGTTCTGACATAACAGTATTGAATTGTGTCCCGTTTCCTCTGTGTATGAACATCGCACTGGGTTATACTTATAGGCTTATAGCTTGTGCAGGATAAGATGAGCACCGAACTGTGGAAGCATTGTGAAGACTGGGTAAGGTGCATGGACATAGGAAGGAGATAGCTCAAAGGAAAATCTCTGTAGAATCAAAGCCATCGCCATTTTTGCCTCCAACAGGGCGAAATTGTAGCCAATGCATATTCTTGGTCCCCACGCAAAGGGAAAGAAGGAGACTTTGCTCTTTGTCGCCTTTGAAAGACCTTCTTTGAATCTCTCGGGTTTGAACTCTGTAGCATCGTGGCCCCACAGCTCGGTATCGCGTTGGACTAGCAAGATAGGTAGGTTGATTTTTGAACACCTCCTGGTATCGTCAAATCGCCTAACTTCATCTCTTTGTGAATGGCTCGGGTCACCTGTGTTACGGGAGGGTATAGCCTAAGGACCTCGTATAATATCATTGTCATCTGCGAGGGATCAAATCTTTCAGCAAAAATCAACAAAAGTACACTTCAAGGTTTCTGATTTGGTTTTACTTACAACTTTGAGTTGGTTCAGGCCTTCTGTATCAGGTTCTTTATCACCAAAAACTTGCTTCACTTCTTCTCGTGCACGAGCCTGCCAGTCTTGGTGTTGGCTTAACAAAACCATTGTCCAGACCAGAAGTACTGAAGTTGTCTCCTGCCCGGCGAAATAGAACAACTTGCACTCTTCCACCACATCCTCAGTGCTCATTCCATTTCCTTTGGCTTGCCCCAAATTCGATTCAAGAAGTATACCCAGCAAATCGTCGCTTGGTGCTTCCTCAGCTTCTCTCGCCATTAACCTTTTGTTAATGATACCTCTCAGTATAGTTTGGATTTCTCTGACTAGTGCTTTTATCCTTCTATTACCCTTCGTTGGGAGATATCTGCGCAAACAAAACAACAAAGAATATGACACAACCATGATTCTTGTCTCCTAATAGATTGCAGTGCTTAAAGATCAGGAGTCAAGCCAGGCAAGTTGAGGTTCTATTACCTATATCCAGGGATGAAAGCGCTCTGAACAGATACTATGATGATCTGTGCTAGTTCTGTTTGGAGCTCAAATATCCTTTGTCCTTCTTTGTAGCTGCTGCCAAAAGCAGTACGAGAGATCACATCTGCAGTCATACTCTCAAGCCAAGGCCAAACGTCCACCTCACCGGACGAACCTTTATCAGATACTACTAACTTGTCCCATTCGCCAATAACCTCACTGCAGCTCTGGTGGAAAGCAGGTACCATATTCTCTACATAGAAGCATAAGTCACAAATATGGTCAGGCAAATGATACTTAAACTAAGCTAACCCTGTTTCAGGGTGCTATGAAATAGAAGTCAAAACCTTGATCTTCTCCAGATGGAAAGCTGGATTGATGATTCTTCGGTGTTTTGCCCATTTATCACCATCATAACTAACGAGTCCAGTGGCTATCAATCTGCCTAAAGGGAATGTGTGCGTCTTGGTGAAATCATTAACTTTGTTGAACACTTCCTTGATTTGCTCAGGATCCATTATAGTGATGGTTGGTATAGGTCCAATCCATGTAAAAAATGTCCTTCCTGTTCCAACAACAAAGAGATATAAAAATGAAAACCTTTCAAAATCAGTTTTGTTGTTCTAACGAGGAGACATACCGTGCATGTTGAGCATTTGCAAGGGAAAAGGAACGACACGTTTTGCGATATCATCCGTTAGTCTGATAGGTTTGGATCTTGCATCCATCACCATTCTTAAATTCCTCTTCAAATCACCGACAAGAGGCGTGTAAGGAGTTCCGGAAAGACCTTGTCTTCTCAGGTAACTTTCAAGCATCTTTGGTTTCAACCAAACCCACTTGATAGTTTTCCATATCCACCACAATACAATAAGAGCTACTATAGCTACCGATGCAACTGATATCTGCATGTTCTAACGTTCTTGGTCTCTAAAGTTTGAGAACTGCCCCTTATAAAAAAGTTTGAGAATTTTGGTGAAGAAATGCATGTGGACATTCAAGTACTTGTAGAGTTTGTATTTTCGGACATATCATATTTTTGTAAACTATTTTGGAATAAAATCAATCAACCAATCAAATTCATGTACATCGTACATTTTTGTTCTATATAAATATTGATTTCTGTCATAGATTTTTGAACCTAATTAGTTTATTTATTTTATTATATGTAAAACTATCAATTAATATATTTTAAATGAAAATTTTAATGGATTTTACTAAATAGAAATTCTAAATCTATCAATATATATAAATATCTTACTTAAGTTTATCAAAAGCTAACATATTCTATGATATTTACAGCTTATTAATTTCTGAAATATACGCCGTATAACTAGATGAATTTCTACACACATGTAAGATTAATACATTATGGAGTATTTTTTATCACAAAAAAGAATAACTCAAATTTGATCAATACAATAAAACCAGCTGCAAATTAGCGGGAATAACGCTCAAAGATATATTTTTTTTCTCTGTACATTTAGAGTTATATATTATTCTTTTATTTAAGTTAAAAAAAAAATATTATTCTTTTATTTAAAACTTAGTTTATAATACACGACATATAGGAAAACTTTAAAGTACGATTGGTAGATAAGAAATACATGGTTAATGGTGTATATTTATTTAGTGTACACTATCTCTTAATCAAAAAGTACTACACGACCAAGATAGAGTAGTTATCTCGATTCAGAGAAACATGGTTTATGGTACAACAAACAAGATTCTTGGATAAAATCACAAGTTTATAGCTTGTGGAGGATAAGAGGAGCACCAAAATGTGGATGAATGGTGATGACTTGGTAAGGCGCATGGACATAAGAAGGAGAAAGCTCGAATGAGAATCTCCTTAGAATCAACGCCAGAGCCATCTTTGCCTCTAACAAAGAAAATTTCTGACCGATGCACATCCTCGGTCCCCATCCAAAAGGCAAGAAACAGGCCTGGTTCTTTGTTGCTTTTGAGACCCCGTCTTTGAACCTCTCGGGCTTGAACTCTGCTGCATCGTCCCCCCAAAGCTTAGTGTCCCGATGGATTAGCAGAGTAGGCACATTGACTTGAACACCAGCCGGTAGTGTCAGATGACCTAGTCTTATCTCTTTGTGGATGGCTCGGTTCATCTGGATGACTGGAGGATTTAGCCTAAGGACCTCATAAATAATCATCTTCATCTGTAGGATTCATTCAATTAAAAAAAAAAGTCATCAAAACACAATAAAAAAGAGTAATCGAAAAAAGCATGCAAACATAGCAATTTTAAAGCCCATAAAAAAGAAAAGCATAAAAACTTAAAAATCTATCTTTTTGGTTTGGTTTATACTTACAATTTTGAGGTGGTTAATGCCTTCTGCATCGGGATCTTTATCACCAAAAACTTGCATCACTTCTTCTCGTGCGCGAGCTTGCCAGTCTTGGTGTTGGCTTAACAAAACCATTGTCCAAGTCACAAGTACTGAAGTGGTCTCCTGTCCCGCGAAATAAAACAACTTGCACTCTTCTATAATTTCTTTGGTGGTCAGACCATTTCCTTTAGTTTGCCCTGAATTTGATTTAAGAAGTAGATCCAACAAATCGTGATCACTTGGTGCTTCACCAACGTCTCTCGCCTTTTCTCTATTGCTAATGACCCCTTCTAGTATAACTTGGATTTCTCTATCTATTGTCTTTATCCTTCTATTATTCTTTGTTGGAAAATACCTACACCCAAAAAAAAAATTGAAGAATATATATAATTCATAATCCGCATTGACAAAAAAATTGCGGCAGTATATACAAACCATCAAAACGCATTATCCTCATTGTCTATTGGTTTTGATTTAAAACTCGTCATTTTTTTTTTCACAGTATTAGATATATTGATATATCCGGTCCAAAAGTGAAATTCCAGGCTCATGCATGTTGAAAAGAAATAATGTATAGTCAAGTGTAATGGAAGCCACAACCTCTGGCAAAGAGAGCAAGGATATTCAAATATACATAAAGAAGATTATTAGTAAACCGATCAGCCATGCTAGTACTAGACTAAAACAAGTCAAGTTTTTCTTACCGATATCCAGGGATGTGGTTCTTCCCAATAGCTTGTATGATGAGCTTTGCTTGTTCCTCTTGTAGCACAAATATCCTCTGTCCTTTTTTGTAGCTGCTACCAAAAGCGGTATGAGAGATCACATCCCCGCTCAGTTTTACAAGCCAAGGCCAAACATCAATCTCACAGGAGGACCCTTTATCTGAAACTAACTTCTCCCACTCGCACACAACCTCGCTGCAACATTTATGAAACGTAGGGACCATATTCTATACAAAAAAAAATCATTGGAATCAAGGCAAAAAAATAATGGAACATGATCATCTCATGGTTCTGAAAATATTAGGAAAAAGAGAATCTCAAAACCTTGATCTTCTCAAAATGGAATGCCGGGTTGATGATCTTCCGGTGTTTCGACCATTTATCTCCATCAGCATTAGCGAGTCCATCAGTTATCAATTCAACCAAAGGAAACGTGTGCGTCTTGGGGAACTCATAAACTTTGTTATACACTTCATTGATCAGTTGTGGATCCATTATTGTGATGGATGGTATGGGTCCTAACCATCTGAAAAAAGTCTTTCCTGTTGCAGCCACATACGCATGCATATATTAGAAGGACGAAGTTATTAAAAAAAGGAATCCAAAATCTATAAGCCAAACCAAGAAACATATACAGTATACCGTAAGTATTGAGCATGAGTAAGGAATAAGGCATGACAAGTGAAATGAGATCATCTGTTGGTTTCATCGGTTTCGATCTTGCTTCCATTAACATGCTAAAATTCCTTTTCATATCTCCGACAAGAGGCGTGTAACGAGTTCCGACAAGACCTTGTCTTCTCAGAAAACTCTCAAGCTTCTTAGGTTTAAGCCAAACCCACTCCACAATTCTCCATATCCACCACAATACAACAACTAGAGCCAAAGATGCAACTGATATCTCCATTTGCTAATTGTTTTTGGTCTCTAAAGTTTGAGATTATTGATGAAGAAATGCATGTGGTGATATGTTCTTTAATACTTGTAGAATTTTTGTCTCGGAGAATAAAATATTTTCTTTAACCGTCGATCTTTTGCCTTTACTCGGAGCCTCACAACCTCTGGGCTCTGGCCACATCTGTCTTCCATGCCTTAAAGCCTTCTTTTCTTTTGTCACACAATTTAACTTCGATGCCATGATTGCTAGTTAATTATGAAATACGAATATACGATACTTATTATGACCTAACTAATGAGGTTAGGAAATATATTTTTATTACTTATATTTCCTTTTTTGGCACAAATATAGTCGATTATATAATCAATGAAAATATCCAAATATAAACTTCAAGAAATAGATCAACGAAGTAAACAAAAAAAAGCCATTAATAATTTACAAGAAAATGTTGACCAAGTAATAACATTACACGAACATATATAATACTAAAATTTCTTGTAGATAGCTGATGTATGTAATGCATTTGGATAATCGATAAACAAATTAAGTCGGTTTGTGAAGAAAAAAAAAACAGAATTTTATAATCTATTTTATCTTGATATTGGTAATATCTAAATACACCTGGGGCATAAGTTATATGGTGAGCTTTGCTTAGACGTCAGAAGTATTTTTGTTTGTTCTTTTTGTAAACCACTTTGATTTCGATAAGTTTTTGCCGGGACGACAGTGTCACTATTCGTGGTCACTTTGAATGGATTCTTATTGGTTACAGAGTGAAAAGCAAATAATCTGTCATGTATTTTTCTCTTCAGAAGGTGGTTACTTGTCCACAAGTCATGAGGCATATCAATTACCAAAAAAAAAAAAAAAAGAGGAGTCATGACGAATAGTCCAAACTTATCCACAATAGTCTTGATTGGCAATAACTACTCGGATTTTTCAATCAGGTAAGGTGAGTTTGATCAATTCTTTGTTCCTATCTTGTATATAAGGGTAAAGTACGGTAAAGTATGCATCCAACCCTGTCTTCAGATTTTGTCTTAACTCTCTTGTCATTTTCTACTTCTGGATACATCATATTATGACCTTTTTTTTTTTTTTTAGTTTTTAGTACTAATGGAGGATTTTGGTGTCAGTGCAGGCTTGGAATTCTGCTTTGATTCTAAGATCCATCACACTTGTACCGCACAGCAGATTCGATCCATTTGGATGTAATGAACTATATATAATCTGATGAAAAGCAAGATTCGAGTGTGCGTGTATCTGCAGTATAATAAATTCATAAATTGTATTATTGTTGTTGGGTAAGGGAATCTTGAAAAGCATAATCTCTTGTCTTTTTCCACCATAGAAAAAAAAAATTACATGCATACACTCATTTTCATGCTTTTTATATGTCTTTTGATGCGCACTCATTTTCAAAGGTCCCTCCAGGAGACTTAATAGAGCTACACTTTTTTTTTCTTTTTTTGGCAAAGACTATTACATATTTAGATGCTATATATTCTTGATGGGCGAAGAATTCATGAGAATTTCGTAGTAGAATTCACTTGATCTCCTCGTTATTATTTGGGAACTATATGCTACTGAAACTTGAATCTTGATACAGAAAAAAAAAAAAAACTTGTGGAAACTTAGTTTACTGATCTACGAGCAAGTGGAGGATCAACGGGGCACCAAACTGAGGATGAAGTGTAAGAACCGTGTGAGGTGCGTGAGTGTACGATGGGGACAGCTCGAAGGAGAATCTCCGCAGAATCAAGACAAGAGCCATCTTAGCTTCCATGAGAGCGAAATTCTGGCCTGGACAGAATCTTGGTCCCCATCCAAACGGAAGAAACGAGACTTGGTTCTTCGTGGTCTTTGAGATCCCATCTGCGAATCTCTCGGGCTTCGAGAGAGTGCATCAAAGTTGGGTTTGTTGTTATTCCCAATGACTTGTAAGATCTCATCTCTAGCTTTATCTTGCCATTTCTGGTGATGGCTCAGCATAATCATAGTCCACACAAGCAGCTCCGCAGTGGTTTCTTGGGCCGCAAAGTGAAACAGCCTGCACCCTGATCTCCGGAGTTCGATTCCAAAAGTATTCCCAACAGATCATTCTTTGGAGCCTTCCCTGCTTCCATAGCTCTCTGTCTTTTCATGATGATCTGCTTGGGTGCAATGGCGGCTTCGGGAAATCGTTGAATCTGTTAGAACTTCTTTGATGTGTTCTGGTTTCGTCACGATAACACTCGCTGTAGGTCCTAACCACATGTAAGATGTCTTTCTTACAGAAACACTAAACCATAGAAACAGAGGATTTCAACAGCAAGTTCATACTTTAGAAAAAAAAAAAAACAGAGGATCTCTGTTTTGAGTTCAGATCAAACCGTTGCTTACCATGATCCTTAACGGTCTGTAATATCAGAGGTATGACACGTGAAGTGTAATCGTCGGCTAGACTGATGGGTCTGGACTTTGCTTGCTCCACCATACTGGCTTCCTTTTTAGCGTCTCCGATAAGAAAGGTGAAAGGAGTTCCAGAGAGACCTTGTCTCTTTAGGTAAGCCTCATGTTTCTTTGGTCTAAGCCAAGCCAGATTCAGACCTTTCCATATCCATACCGCAACCACAGTTACCACCACAATCGCAGCCGCAGCTGCTACCGCTGAAATCTCTGTATCCCTCATAAACGCACTTCTCTCAGAAATTTACTAGATGGATTTTTTGTTTTGTTTTTTTACAGGATGGAAGATGCCAGATGAAAATGCTATGTATTCTCTATATTTATTGATAAAATCGTTGTTAATTTGCGTATCCAGCAAGTCAAAAAAAGTGTGAGACAGAGTAAATTTCAGCAAATGTTCTAGGTTTTCTAAAACATTTCTTTCTCCATGGGCCTATGACTTATAAATTAGAAAACTACTGGCTTTTCTAAAACACATCCAAAAGATGGTAGAGTTGAAATTGGCTTCTTATGATAGACTTTTCAAGATTGATAATGCATCCACAATGGAAAACGACCTTAGACTTGACTAAAGAAGACATTTACCTTAGCGACCAATTTCAGACTGAAATCTTGATAACCTATGGCTATAATTAGTCGTTCTTAACATATGTTTCTGTTAAACATTTGATGACATCACCATGGAGATACATAAAAATCAGAGCTTGTGCAGGATGAGATGAGCTCCGAATTGAGGACGAGTGGTCATGACTGTTTGAGGCGCGTGAACATAAGAAGGAGAGAGCTCGAAGGAGAATCTCTGCAGAATCAAAGCCATTGCCATCTTAGCCTCCAACAGAGCAAAACTCTGACCGATGCAGATCCTAGGTCCCCACCCAAACGGGAAAAAAGAGACCTGGTTCTTTGTTGCCTTTGAGAGCCCGTCTCTGAACCGCTCTGGCTTAAAATCCGCTGCATCATCTCCCCAGAGCTCGGTGTCTCGATGGACAATAGCAGTTGGTATGTAAACATGAACACCAGCTGGAAGGGTAAGCTCTCCTAGCTTCATTTCTTTGTTGACAGCTCTTTTAAGCTGAGCCACCGGAGGATATAGCCTCAAAACCTCATAGAAGATCATAGTCATCTGTTCAAAATTTTATATTCAAGTGAATCTGGTAACTAAAGATGCAGTTTTTCGATGCAAGAGGATGTGGAATTTGTGTTTTTTATTTACTTACGACTTTGAGGTTGCTGAGAGAATCTATATCGGGTTTATTATTGTCACCGAGTATTTGCCTCACTTCCTCTCGTGCCCGAGCTTGCCAGTCTTGGTGGTGGCTCAATAAAACCATTGTCCAGACTAACAGTACTGAAGTTGTCTCTTGTCCCGCGAAATAAAACAGCTTGCACTCTTTCATCACTTCATCTACGCTCATTCCATTTCTTTGAGATTCCTCTGAATTTGATTCAAGCAGTATCCCCAACAAATCATTGTTTGCTGCTTCTCCTGCTTCTCTCGCCTTCTCTCGTTTGCTGACTATACCTCTCAGTATTATATTTATTTCTCTGTCTATTGCTTTCATCCTTCTATTGCTCTTTGTTGGGTAAAACCTACACCAAACAACAAATTCTCCTAAGTCCCACAATCTTCAAGCTTTAGTTTACGACAGGATAAAGACAATGGGGGGAGTTTACTAACCTCAATCCAGGGATGTAAGATTTCTTAAAAGCTTGTGCGATAAGCTCAGCTAATTCCCCTTGGAGTTGAAATATCCTCTGCCCTTCTTTGTAGCTGCTTCCAAAAGCTGTATGTGAGATCACATCCGCAGTCAAATTCACAAGCCAAGGCCAAACATCGACCTCACAAGGCGATTCTTTATCGGTAAATAGCCTCTCCCATTGGCAGACAACCTCGCTGGAACAATGGTAGAACGCAGGGACCATGTTCTGTAAACAAAAAAAGCAGGTCGTTAAAAGATCACACACATACACAGTCTCACTTGACTCAGACACTCAAAGACAACAGAGAATAAAAAACAGAAACCTTGATCTTCTCGAGATGAAAAGCAGGGTTGATGATCCTCCTGTGATTCGCCCATTTATCTCCCTTGTAGCTCGCGAGCCCGCCTGCTAACAATCTGAACAAAGGGAACGTAGCAGCCTTCTCAAAGTCGTAAACTTTATTAAAGACTTCCTTGATCTGCTCTGGATTCGTTATTATGATCGTTGGAATTGGTCCAATCCATATAAAGAAAGTCTTTCCTGTTCCAAAACCATAACTCAAATCAAGTCAACCTAAATTCTACACACTATTCACTTCCCGGCTTCGCGGAAACAAAAAATGCTCTCTCTCTCTAAATCTAGAAAATCTGTCCTGATCTCTCAAGAGGAAAGAGAAGAGAGACATAAATACCGTGAGAATTGAACATCTTCAAGGCGAGAGGAAGGAGACGTGGGGTGATATCCTCCGTTAGATTGGAGGGTTTAGATCTCGCCTCCATCATCATATTAACATTCCTCTTAATATCTCCGACAAGAGGCGTGTAAGTAGTTCCGGCGAGACCCTGTCTTCTCAGGTAACTCTCCAGCATCTTTGGTTTTATCCAGACCCACTTCACTAATCGCCATGTCCACAACAACACAACTGCTATAACAGCCACTAAAGCTGCTACTACTGAAAAAGACATCCTCGATTCTTCTCTCATTCACTCTGAATTCCGCAAGTTGAGACCTTTTTTCCTAACAATGGAGTTTCGATTGTACAATTTACAGTGCAGATCCTTTGCCGCCAAAGGGGCTTTGTCTATTGTTCTTGTCGTGTAAGGATTTTTCAACTGTTCTTATCTAATTGCAAATTTTTTAATCAATAAAAATCTTCAAAAGAGATCCACTAACTTCTATTTTATATAAGTGCTCTCCTCAACGCTTTAAGTGCGTGTGTTTCAGGCGCCGAGAAGTCCACGGAGAACACGCTGCAAGAGTTAAGCAGACTTTATTTATGATACTGGGAGATCATGTATTGGTTATCTCACAAACACTTCCCTTACTGAAAGTTAGTTTAATGCGACATTATTTTTGAAGAACTATATATTCTTGATGAAAATTGCCAGAGTCACCTGAAAATCGTATCATATCTAGAAAACCAAGTTCAAAAGATACAAAAATTTAGAACTTCAAGAGAAGATAACTCCAACTGGTTGTTTTTGTTCAGACTGAGGAACAAGAAGCCTAATCTGATGGTTGAAAAGGACGAAGGTTGAATCATGTAATATTGGTTTTACATGAAAAGGTTGGGCTTTGACGCCTTGTATGTAGTCTTGAGCTTCCTAGTTGGTGGCCTGACCTTCCTGAAAACAAGAGGGAACTTGATCTTCGAGTTGTGGAACTGCTTGGTGCTCTCTCTCTTGCACAGCTTTGCAGGGACTGTCGCGGTCTTGATGATCTGAATGCAAGGGAACCTCACTCTATGACGAGAAGCCATCTCAGTGTACATCTGCTCCACTGCACCGTTGAGGGTGGTGTCACGGAACTCCTTGTACATGTTGTGGTAACCAGTTCGGCTCTGATAACGCAGCCAGATACCGTAATTCTTGATCGTCGTGGGGTTCTTCTCGAAAATCTACAAGAGTTGAACAACAAAATCATATACACACTGAACAGAAACAGCAATGGCTTCACAAGTAGCAATCTTTAAGCAATCTATACCTCATTGATGGCAAGCATTTGTCCGTTGCTTTTCTTTACCTTCTTCAGTTTCCTCAGGAAGTACCTAGATACAAGCAAATGCGTTTACGGTCAGGGAAAATGGAGTTGCCACCAACAAATCTGGCAACAAAAAAAGGGCATTGCATGACTCACCAAAACTTGGACATTGCGCGGACTTCATTTGTGGCCCATAGCTTCATACGGTAGATCTTAGGTTGCACATCTTTCTCTGTCGGGAGGGCTCTCCCGACCACTTGATACTGGTGAAACTGATCAAAGATACAAAAGCTCATTGAATCAAATCCATTATAAAACATAAAGAGAAGAAACAAAAGCTCATTGAACCAAATCGATTATTAAATATAAAGAGGTCACATTTTGCAAACACTCAAACAGCATAAGACAATCAACATACAAAATCATATCTACTACTCTCTCTCTGTCACATGAAAACACCAATCTAGAATCAATGATAGGCAATGCAGCTCAAAAAGGTTTAAACGTTATCATTATCGGAGCTAAGAAACAAGCAAAAACATTGCATACGCTTCCTTTGCTCGCCAGTATAAACTTCAAGATCAAATTTTCATACTTTCTCAAAGAATCAGAACTGATTTCATCCCTCCTACGATACATTCTCCCGATCGAACCCAGCTCATAAATATCTAATTCACGGTCATAACTCACGTACAAAATCACTGAAGAAGGACCAAAACCCAGAATCAGTCGTAACTCAGGTTTTCTCTACGAACGAATGAACCAACTTACCCGGAAAGCAACCATTTCAACGGCGAGATCAAACTCCACAGAAATCAGCCAAAAGGAAACAGAGAGCAAGAGCTAAACGGTGGCGCTGATGAGAAAACAAATAGAGCTTCCTTAGGACAAACCCTAGGCGAAGATACACGTATGTGTGGGCTTCACTTTTTTCTACTTGGGCCTTAACAAATTCCATTTTATTTGCCGCGGTCAAACCTACCTAATATAGTAACTTTAACGAGAAAAAAAAAAAATTTATATAATAAATAGATTGATTCTTTGCCATAATCTTCTCTAATCCGTTCCACAATTTTGTTTACATAAATATATGAAGAGATTAAATACAGTACGTGTCTCCATTTACATTTATAGTAACACCATATAATGAAATGTAAACAGTCATAACGTGACTAAGTAAAAAGTTATTAATGGATCGAAAACAGAGAAATGCATTTACTTATATTTTTTTTTTCAGTAATAAACACATTGCTATAGTTTTGAGAAGAACACACTTTTAAGTAAAAACATACAAAGAACTCTGTAATCTTCAAAATATACATTGATTGCTGAAAGTAAACACACATGTACAATCTTCTTCTGCAACAGTATCTCCACGGCCTAACCGGTCCAAGCCGGATTCAAAAGCGTGACATCTTCACTTTATAAATCACCAGACCCCTGAACCTCTTATTGCTCCAAAAACGATGATAATCGTAGCGATAACAGCCTGTGACATGCGTTAGTCAGAACCGATTTAATGTGATCAGGACAACGACAAAAAAAAGGAGGGAAATTGTTAAGTGAGAGAGATAGAATATGAACTCACTCCAATTGCGCAAGCCACATATCCTGGTTTCTCACGCGGGTTTTTAGAGAATAGTAAAAGGAAGAATCCGATGTACCAGGGGATAGCACCGAAGAAGAAACCAAGGATGAATCTTCAAGAATTAAAGAAACATATATTATTACACGTCAAAAAAAAAAAACGTATATGTGGGTTTTTGTTTGCAAAAATGTAAATGATCAGAAGCTAGAGAATGTAAAATGATGGGTTAGACTTACAATAGCCAACCAATGCCTATACCACAACAAGGAAGACGATGGTGTTCTGTTTCATGCCTTCCTCCAGCAACAGCATAACCTAGAGAAACCAGAATGATCTTTAGATCAGCCAAGTGGTGCGTCGCAATAATGATTGAGAAACTAGACTTTTGGCAAGACATTTTGACAGATACCAGATTTGAATGTATGCAATTCTACTAGCTACCATTACCTAAATTCTACATAATTTAAACAAAGATAGATAATCGATTTTCTGCATATGATTCAGCAAGAATACGGCATCCATTGTTTGTGTATTTGTGTTTGAATTTGCTTTTAGTGTGTATTTCCCCCCCCCCCAAATGAACCCACTATCTTATATATATATATATATATATATATATATTTGACAAAACTCAATTGTAAACGTATACGCAAAACCAGAAGATGATTGCATAATTCATTTGTTAATTGTAAACGTAAACGCCAAACCAGAAGATGATTCCATAATTCATTTGTTAATTGTAAACGTAAACGCCAACCAGAAGATGATTCCATAAAAAAAAATAAAAAAAAATTTCAATTTCAAAAACCAAATTCGTTTTTTTTTTGTTTGAATTGTATTTCATCTCCTCATTCTCGAGTGAATCTAGCATCTTGATTTCTCTCAAAGTAGTCATAGTATGAAGTAGGACCGTAATGAAGATGTGCAATAGATCAGGTTCGAATACAACACTATAGATAGGATCTAAATTGTAATCAAATGCGAATTTTAGCAGCTTTAGTGGAAAAGAAAAGCGATATAGAAAGAAAAAAACCATTAAATTTCCTAAACGAGATCAAATATCCTAACAAAATTATCAAAGGGTCATATTTAATAGATCAGGGAAAAAAATTGCTAAAAAAAAATAACAAATAATAGCTGATCTGATAATTTTTATGTTTTGTCCATACAATGAGAACATGAGAGGAATAAACTAACCGGAGACGTAAGGCTGAGCCGGTTGTGGATAACCGGCGGCCGGCGGCTGCTGCTGCGGTGGAGGTGGATAGTTAGAGACGCCTTGATACGGCTGAGGAGGAGGAGGCTGCTGGTGGTGATGATCCGTCACCACTGATCTGTTTTTGTCGTCTTCTACGCTGCTCGTCATCTTTCTCTCCGATCAATAAACAAAGAGAAGCAATCTTCTCTGATTTGGAATTGGATTTGTTTTTGATCTGATGAGAATTGTGAAACCAAGATTTCGATTTTAAGGTTTTGTATTTGAGGGATGCACGTGCCACGTGGCTGTTTCTGCGGTTGGTCGGATTGCAACCACATGCGCTCCTATAATTTTGACCTAGCGTAATCCGAGGGGAAAGATTTACTTGCTATATACAGTATAGTAGTATTTATTTTTTCATTATATATAGAAAAAAACAACACCAACGAAAATATCTAAGTTTTTTTTTTTGGTAAAACGAAAATATCTAAGTTGTGTTTTTTGGTCAAACTATATAAGTTCTGTTTAATTCCTTATAATTGATTGAAAGCATCGTTATTGTTAATCGCCGACAAGAGACCATCGTTAATCGCGTTTTAGCTTTTTCAGCTATCCTCTTTTGTTCATTTTTTGTTTCCAACATTTTTTATTGAGGAAATAGAAAAGGGAGTACCAAAAGAAAGGAAACAATTTTGAGTTTTCTCTATATTTAAATCTTAAAAAAAGGGTCACATATGCATCCAACGATATACCCCAGTTTTTCTGCTACATAATAAATTAATAACGTCATGATACTTTAGAAAAAAGAATGCCATTATTATTTGTTTAGTAGAATAATTTAGTTCATAATATCATATATAATGTCAATGGCTAGATTTTTTTGCAAAAGTAATGTAGATAATCCAGATCATATTACATGGAAACACCTCATAAATAATAAACGCGTAGGATCTCCTTATTTCAAGATTCAACTGAACATGGGACATATGATTTCTTACTTTATCCAAAAAAATGACATAGGTACTTCCTTGGTTTCCTCACACGTGTCTGACACACTTGCACTCATTTAGGCGGTTGACGCGTTTCTCTTTCAAAGAAGATGTATTTTTCCTTTCCCAAAACCAAAAAGTCTCTGTTTCCGTGGAACCAAAAACAAAAAACGAAGTCGTTTTTGCTGATCGAAAAGAGAACAGAGAAAATCGCCATAATAGGATTTTAGATCAAATGTTTTCTTTGTTCCCGTCTCTTTGTCTCTTGTCTCTTGTCGCTTGTTTCCACTACTAACTAATTAATTCTAAAAAGAACGAAACAAAGAAAACTGCAATCATCTGTTTCCGTCTGTTTCTCTCGCTGCAGTCACTTTTTTAGAACCAAAACACAAGAATTTTGACTCGATTAGGATGGTTTGGTTTGATGAGACTGTTGTTTGATCTTCGGGTCAAGTAAAGGAAGTTTCTTTGGAGTTTCGTTTCGGGGTTTTCACTTCTGGATTACGTAACGGATCTCAGTCGATAGGAAGTGGAAGTGTAGAGTAATGGAGTGTTCGGTATTCCATCATGTGGTGATTGTGTTGATGTTCCTTTGGGTTCTCTCTTACTTGAATCGATCACACACCCTTTTCTATTTTCTCGCTCTGATTTATCTCTACCTGGTATCGTTTTTTTTTGGCCTCTCTGTCTCGTTGACATATGCTTCCTTTGTGAGTTAAAGCCTTGATTTTGATGGATTGGGTGAACAAGATTGTTGCTCTGTTTTGGTGGGTTTCTTTAGGTTCATGAACGGTATGTGATGAGATTGAGGAGGAAACTACAGTTCGAAGAGATGAAGCAGGCTACACAGAGACGGGTAATTCTACTTCTATTGAGAGAAAGATTATTCCTAGTTATGAGAATTTAAGTTTTTTTTCTTGGTTTGTTATGCAGACACTAGTTTTAAGTTCTAGGCCTCTCAAACTTGTATTGAAAGATCCTGACATTAGCTTTGTTTGCATTAAACGGTAATCCTTTCTCGTTGTTTTTAATACATCTTTTTTAGGTTCTATCTGATTCTGAATCGGTACGGTGGATAAATCATGCAGTGGAGAAGATATGGCCAATTTGTATGGAACAGATTGCGTCTCAGAAGATTCTGCGTCCGATCATACCTTGGTTCTTGGACAAGTATAGACCTTGGACCGCGGTAACACATTCAAATTTAGTTCTCTGTTTTTACTTACATGTGACTCTTTTTGTGCCTTTTAGTGATTTCTCTATGGGACTAGTTAGACATTTGAAACACTACATTATTGCTGGTTTGATAACTTGTGCAGAAAGAGGCTCTGATACAACATCTCTATTTAGGAAGAAACCCGCCTTTCTTGACCTATATAAGGGTGCTTCGACAGTCTACGAGTGATGATCACTTGGTATAGTTGCAAAACTTTGGTTACCACAGTGTTTAACATCTATAGAGAGAAAGTAGGACTTAACACCGTTGTGTTTACAGGTGCTGGAACTTGGAATGAATTTCCTCACAGCAGATGATATGAGCGCAATACTTGCTGTCAAGTTAAGAAAAAGACTTGGGTTTGGAATGTGGACAAAGTTGCATCTGACAGGAATGCATGTCGAAGGAAAGGTAATGACTTTTTTTCTGTAATTAATTCACATACTTACACACTCTCTTGAATGAAGTTATCTTGCTTCATCTGGATACTTTTCACTCTTAAAGGTGTTGATTGGAGTGAAGTTCCTTCGTCGATGGCCGTTTCTGTGGCGTTTACGTGTCTGTTTTGCAGAGCCGCCTTATTTCCAAATGAACGTAAAACCAATCTTCACTCATGGACTTGATGTTTCTGTGCTTCCAGGGATTGCAGGATGGCTAGTAAGTATTGACACCTGATAAGCTTGTAAACTTAAGTACTGCAGAAACTGTGCTCCGTATCTTATGAGTTTTTACTCTTCTGACACTCCCACCACTATTGTTATCTCCTGTTCAGGACAAACTCTTGTCTATTGCATTTGAGCAGACTCTTGTTGAGGTAAGGTTTTCTTCCTCTCCTAAAGCTCCGGATTTATCCCCTCATGTAGTTTAGCAAACATTGTCATTACAATGAAGCCAGCTAAATGAAGCTTGTGTCTAATTTACAGCCAAATATGTTGGTAGTTGATATGGAGAAATTTGTTAGTCCCCAATCAGGAGGTAACTATTGCAGGGCTATTCAGATCCATGACGTCTATGTTGTACTTATTTTTCCTCCAAAGTTATTAACATTTCTAAAACCTTCATTTGCTTCCAGAAAATTGGTTCTTTATTGATGAGAAAGAACCAGTGGCACACGCTCTTGTTGAAGTCATTGAAGCATCTGAGGTGAAGCCATCAGATCTAAATGGTCAGTCTGAAAATCATTAGGCTTGTTAGTGTCCTCCACTCTATTAATTAAAATATGAACGCCATTGTATGAACTGCCCGGATTTGGATGCTTCAGGTTTAGCTGATCCTTATGTGAAAGGGCAGCTTGGCGCTTACAGATTCAAAACCAAGATACTAAGGAAAACGTTGGCTCCCAAATGGCAAGAAGAGTTCAAGATACCAATCTTGACATGGGACTCTGCAAATATACTTAACATTGAAGTTCAAGACAAAGACCGATTCAGCGATGACAGTCTTGGTGATTGTTCAGTAAACATTGCAGAGTTTAGAGGCGGGCAAAGAAATGATATGTGGTTGCCTCTTCAGAACATCAAAATGGGGAGGCTGCACCTTGCTATTACCGTACTTGAAGACGAAGCAAAGGTAGATTGAGACTCTGTTTATTATTCCTAAACAAATGAGTTTCATTATTAATAAGTCTTATGTAGTGTGCATCTGATTCTTTTACAGTGGAACGATGACCCGTTTGAAGGAGTGACAATAAGTAAGGAAGATATGTGGGCTTCTTTTGCTTCCCACGCTACAAACAAAGGCTCTTTCTCGTCAGTGGTATCTGATAAGTCTCCAAGGGTTCTTGATAATTTGGAACCAATTAACATTGAAGGACAAGAAGAGACAGGAATCTGGGTGCATCAACCAGGAACCGAAGTCTCACAGATTTGGGAACCAAGAAAAGGCAAGAGTCGATGCCTTGATAACCAAATACGTGGAGTTCTGAATGATACTTCTGCTGGAAGTGTCAATGAAAGCAGCAGCCCCGATGAAGGGAAGAACACGATGAGGTCTGTTGGTCGGGGATTGAAGAAAGTCGGTTCAGTATTTCATAGGAATGGGAAAAAGGAAGAATGTCACCACACAGGGAACATGGAAGAGGATATTAGGTCTCCTCGGATTAATTTGAAGGCGTTAAATCAAAAGGATGTTGGAGTTAAGTTCATCGTTGAAGACCGTTTATCGGGGCCTCTCAAAGGAAGATCTCCAAAAGGTGAGAGCTTTGGTTCTGAAGACAGTCAGCACAAGGGACACATGAAGGATGTTGCAAAGAGCATTCTTAAACACGCTGAAAAGTCTGCAAGACACATAAAGCATGCATTTTCACGTAAAGGGTCAAGGAAATCAAGAGATGATGAGTGCTCAACCGTGTCAGAGCAAGATGTTGTTCCTGAGTCTGAGTCTATGTCCGGTTCCGAATGTCAATATTCTGATGATGAATCTGCCCTTAGCAGTGTGCAGGGCCTGGGGACGCCAAGAGCAGCAAAAACTGAAGGCAAAGTTGTCAGGGCAGGGGAAGATGATCATGTAAATAGATATATGGATGCCAGAGACTCTTCTGCTGGAGCTGAGAAAGTCCCCACGCCAAAAAAAGAATCCATGAAATAAAAAAGGAATTATAGGTAATCAAAGGCTTGCGGATGGAAATTTGAATATGTTCAAGTCAAGTAGTTGTAAATATCGACAAAGGATTCGTGTACAGCTTTTTGAGTTTTGAGTCTGTGTCTTGGTTAACATCTTTTTGAGTTTTGAGTCTCTGTCTTGGTTAACATCTTTTTGAGTCTCTCTCTTGCTTGTATGACCATTTGGAAGATCAAAAAAACAACCTAATAAGAAAACAGTTAAGCAGATAAAAAAAAGAAAACAGAGAAAGAAAATGGATGGTTTACCTGCTAGGGAAGAGCTTGAGAACATCTTTGTCTATACTCATGGCAGAGCCGGCCCTGAGTTTTAAGTGGCCGCAAGCTAAAATAACAAATAGACTATTTTATAACTAAAAAAATAGACAATTTTATAACTAAAGAAAAATATGCCACAAATTAAAGATAAATTTTATATAAAAAAACAGGACCGCAAGCTCATGCTTGGTCTGTTTGGCCTCAGGACCGGCTCTGCTCATGAAATTGGAAATACATGCAAATATTAAGAATACTTTATGGGATTACCAGTTCCCTAGAATTTCATAACTCATTTCAGTGAGCCAGTCCTCATGGATCAGAATAATGGCACTGGCTCATGTTTTTTTTAGAAGCTGAAGAGAACTTCTCTTGAACATAGAGATCCTTTTATCACACCTTGCATAATAACCTGTGAAGTCTTGGAAACAAGAAAAACAACTTTAAATGGAAATACAACAACTTTTTATGAAATAACAAGATACCATGCTTTCCTCCACGTATCAAAGCTTTCTCATTTTTTTTCTTTATCAGATTTTAAGCCTAGCACGTCATCTAATCTGACACCAACATCTTCACCAGCCTTTTTCTTATCCTCCTAAAAACACATAAGCCATTAAATTCATTTCCTTTATAACCAGGGTAAGATCCAAAGTATTCAAAAGTTTTGCCTTACATGTTGGTCATAGACAAGTGTATCCAAGGTCGTGAACAGAGTCTTACGAATTTCAGCTTCTATATCACGTAAATGCTGTTTTAGTGTTCCTATTGTATGCATGAACTGTAGCAACGCATCTTGACAGTGCCAAATACTCTATGATCATTCTAAAGAGATTGTTTTATTCTTCTTTCGTCCAAGGTTGTACAAAAGGTAAAAGAATTGAGGAGTAAACATGGAAGGTAGTTATCAGAAAGATCAAGACCTTCTCTTCAAGTTGATCAAACTTGCATATGCATTCCGACAGCCTGAAGCGACCAGTGACAGCGAAACGGCTAGTATCTTCAAACTAGCCAACCCATTAATGGAATTTTTGAAGGTCTCGATATCCTGGCAATTTTTTTTTTCTGACTCCTCTTATTTCTTTTTCTAGCTGCTGAGTATTCGTATAGATTTGTGACCATTAATGATTGTGTCCTTATTTATTTATGTAGTTGTTTATTTAGTTGTTTATTTAGTTGTTTATTTAGTTGTTTATTTAGTTTAAAACAAATTAAAAGGGAATAGTCTAAATAAGGACATATCAATTGTTTTTGTTACCATATCCACCATAAGAGCTTCGAGTAGGATGAGAATATAAAATTCCAAGAAAAAGACTTATTAACAAATTATCAATGTAGAAAGCAAAATCAAGTAAATAATTGATGGTATATACTATATACTGGATACTCATGTGAAATATGTGCATGATTTGTACATTTTTTATGTTTCACTTTTTTCGAATTAAATTGAAGTTTTATACTAAAATCTCTATTTTTTATATTTCTTTTTCAAGTAAGATTTAGTCCTCTATTATCAATATATTTTTTTTTGCATGAGTATGAAAGTCCTATTGTAGTTGTAGTATTTTAAGTAAGAACATGTCTCATTTCTCACCATTTTCATACTTTAATTGGTTGTGTTATTAAACAATTTGTTCATTGCTAGCGTCTGAATTCTTTTTTAAGGTTTTTATTGGTGACCTTCCACAACTCTCTTCGCTTTCTGAGAAAAAAGGTAACTTTCTCTCTTCTCCATTTTGTTGAGAAATGTTGCGTCTGAGTTTCTGTTTTTTTTGTTCTCATTTAGGGTTTATTAGTTTTTGTCGTAGGTTGCATCTGTCAACGAGTCCTTCTCTTTGCATTTTTCCACAATTTTGTTTGATTCCTACTTATACGATGATAAACCTTTTATTTGTCTATGTTCTCTTCATATCTCGAGGAACTCAATCTTTAGACTAATTGTTCATCCACTTCATTCACAGAGATTTTGTTAACTTCCTTGATATTGTTAATACAAGGATCTATTCTCTTACTTTGTCTCTGACTACATATTGGTCAAGTCCTCTATCCAATGCAAAACATAATTGACCTGGATTCTGAATAAGAACTGCACCAACCAAACTGAATCCAGACTCTCCTGCAGCAAATTCGTTCCCAACAGACATCAGGAAAACCAACCACTTGTTGATTCTGCAACAGACCCAAACTCTGAGACATTACATAGTCCATGTTCTCTCTGTCAAACAATACAGCAGAATGTATAAACCTTATCCAAGAGTTTCCTGGCAATCTATAATGCGATCCAAATCGGCTTTAGAGTCGATGTTCCTCATAACTACGCAGCGAAGAACTTTCCACCACATCCCAGTTTTTGGAACAAAGCCATGATTCACCATTTGCCTCAAAACCCAGTCCATTTCCTCAACCGACTTCGTTTCGCAGAGCCCCAGAACCATCTTCTTGTACGACACAAAACTGGGTCTCATACCCCACGAGATCATCTGACTCATCATCTCTTTAGCTTCCAAGTTCCTCTTTTTATCCAAGAGACCATAGAGCACCTCCTGATAAGTCCCTGGATTTGGTTGACACCCTTTTACCCTCATTCTCTCCAGAAGCTCAATCCCTTCTTCAACCCTACCTTTCTTCCTAAGCCCTGAAATCAAAATGTTGAACGTGATAGTGTCCGGTTCGATTCGTTCCTTCTCCATCCTCTCCAACAATTTGAAGGCCTCCTCGAACTTTCCCTTGTTACAGAAACCGCGGATTAAAGGTGAAAAAGTCATCACATTAGGCCGTGATTTCTGTTTAGGAAATTCGTCGAGCACCTGGAGTGCAGCTTCCAGATTCCCACTCTCGCACAGTCCTTTGATGAGTATGTTCAAGCAACAACCATCGATTTCCACGCCTAATCTAGGAGCACTCACGAAGATCTTATGAATCTCGTCGAACAGCTTCGCGGAAACGAGTAGATTGAGAACGAAATTGAAACTTTTGACGCTTGGCCAGCATCCGAAATCCGGCATGCCGAACAGAATCTCAATCGCTCGATTGATTCTTCCGGCTAAGTTCCCGTAGATCCTCATCAGATTGTAGAAGAACTCCTCAGAAAAACGGCACCTTTTCTCGAGCTTTACATTTCTCATGAGCTCTTCGATTTCGTCGAACATCTTGGCTTGTCCGAACTTGTTGATCAGAAGGGCGTAGAGAGGTTCCGTCGGCTGATAATCCTTCCGTTTAGAGTAATGTTGGTAAGCCGGCATAAGAAAGCTTGGATCTTTGACATTTTCGAAGATTTTCAAAACCTCGTTCGGCGCCAACCAGTCCTTGTGCTTTAGCCTGGCGAGTTTAGCGTCACCGGAGTATCGCTGCGACGCCGTATATCTATCAGAAGAAGATGAGACAAGTCGAAGAGCAGAAGCAGAAAGTGGTTGGCTCTTTGAATTCCATGTTGCAGACAGAACAAGCCTCCGAAGAATCATTGTTTCTTCACCTCAAAAGAAACCGCGAACTGTTTATGTATTGGTCCAACAACACCTTAAACCAAGTGGTTTATTACGGTACGGAGAAATCTATTTGATTTTAGATAAAATAAACAAAAAATATCGATTTTTCTTTCTAATAATTTGTTGGTGTAAGATATAAAATAAAAAATAAAAATAAAAATTTTCAATTGGGAAATTTTTGAATCTGGTTCAGATCAGTAAACTTGAAAAACTTTCAATTGGGGAATGTTTGATTCCGGTTCAGATCGGTTAGAGTGTTCATCACTAACTCTTCAATTTCCACTACATTGAACACGAGTGAAATATGTTTTGTATGAATATAGTTTTTGTACAGAGCAATTAATAAGTGAAATAGTTACAAGATGTACAAAGCAAAGGAGAAGAAGAAAGAAGAGAAGCATGTTCATCTATTTCTTCTTCTTCCCTGCAAGAATAGGTTGAATTTGAAGCCTTCTGTTAAAAGCTTCGTTGAAGAGAAACCGCGTTTGAAACGCAGAAATGATAGGAAGCCATGCTAAGATGGCCATTGGTGCAAACAGAACGACTCCCATTCCATAATCATAAGCTCGAGCAAGAACTTGTGTGAACTCCCACAAGCTTGTCCCTTCTATCTTTGGCCTAACAGCTTGTGCAATCTGCAACAATGATTTTATGAAATACCATAAGAAACTAAATGTGTTATTTTCTTAAGAAAACATAGTGAATTGGGAAGGATTGGTACCAGAATCAGACCCCAACCGGTAGGCAAGAAAGCTAAGCAAGAGACTATAAGGTCCTTGAGAGAGAGGTGACATATGTTTGATAGAGTGATAATGACTGTTAAAATGCTCACGAAGACAAAGACTTTGAAGAACCGAAACACAAGATGTTTTCTTGTGCTGAACAGTTGCCTCCCTAGGTCTACGGCCTGTAAGAGAAAACAGAGAGAATTGTTTCTAGCTTGACTTTGGTTCTGTTTTAATGCATCTTCTACTTACTTCATCAGACTTAGAAAGAAGATGAGATATTTTACCTTTACTGTGAGAAAGGTGGCGAGGATCACGACCCAAGAAATTCCGTAGACTATGATATTCGTGCTGCTTTGGCTAATGTCAAGGTGATATACCAAACCATACTGATACACAAAGAACCTGAGAGAGAGTATTATCTCCAAACAGCGAGCTCCAACACCAGAGCCACGGAGATGGGCTTGCTCGTCGTTCCACCAAGATTGCCAGCTCTTGTCTTGCTGAATCCCAATCCCACCTTGCTCTTTGATCCACCTGTTCCAGTCTCTCCAGTCACCGACTATTATTTCCCAGGTAAAGCCTGAAGGGTTGAAGAGAAACGGGGCACATAACCAAGTAAGGGACATGAACCACACTGAGAAAGTGATGAATGAGTAAGCCATGTTGCTTTGAGATGTATGCTTGAACAACTCGTAGACCACCAGAAGAATGAGGAGCTCAAAGCCTTTGATGAAATGGCTTCGCGAATATAATCTGTAGTTTTCACTGAAGTTGGCGTGGAACACCACCACTTTACGCCCTGTGGGTCTGTATTTGGCGCCTCCATGGAGAATTGTCCTCCCAAAGTAATGCGTTTTGGTTCCTAGAGAGAAGGTGAAGAAGAATGCAGCAAGCTGAAGCTGCATGAGTATGAAATCTTGAAAAGCTATGAGAAATCCTTTCTCCAATCCAATCTCCATCACCATCGGTAAACCGGTCAAGAGACCTAGCTGAATAAATGATTGAGAGGCAAGAGCTGTTTCCAATGATTTTATGTTCTTCACCTTAGCCTCAAGAATAAGCGTTTTCTGCAACCCACTAAGCACGAGGTAGAGTTGACCATAGAGATAGATATAAATCCCCATCACTGAAATCTGTACAAACATAGGCAGAAGTTAGAACTCATCCACAACTGAGACAAGGAAGCATCAGTATTCAGCAAAAGATTCATGGACGTTACCAAGCTACTGAAGTAAAATCCAATGGTTGTGAAATAACAAGACAGCATCCTGAAGAAATCAAACCGTTGTCCTAAACGGTATATATCACGGCTAATAGTCTGCTCGCTGTTTCCATTAGCCACCTTGGCCTCAAACTTTGAGATCTGATTGAGGCCAACGTCACGACCTTTTCCAACTTGGAGGTACTCATTGTAGGTTATGCATCCGCGTCTTAGGGTGGTATTATAACCTACAGAGTACAAGGAAGAATGTTATTACAAGTAAAGCTTACAAAATTTTGCTGAGAAAGAAGTGCTTAAAATGTGATTTCATACCGGCGAATACGTCTTCGCTTAAGTTAATAGTTCTTGATGATTTACTAATACCACCCCTTGTTATGTGAAATATTCTGTCGAAGACATCAGGATGTCCATAGTGAAACCGAACTCTGTAAATCAATGAAGAGAAAAAGTTTTATGTTTCCGTGGCCTCGGCAAGTGGAAACTATGATTCTGAGGGTTTAAGAGTTAGAGATTGCCTGAGAGGATTAGCAAGAAGCCTTTGACCGATTGTGACAAAACTGGTTTCTTGATATGACATGAACCATGCTAGAGAAGAAACACTGCAATATCAGAAACTCATTAAATTCCCTTATGATGTCCTGGTTGTTTCAAAGAGTAAGATATTTATATACATGTAAGTGTGGAACAAACCTTCCGGTGAAGATGTGTTCCCTTAGCCCAAGAATTGTTGGAGGTCTTCTTCCACGGTTCCGAAGAAATTCTTGGAGGAGATTTCTCATTTTAAAAGCCTCTTCCAGATAATTATCCTAAATCGTTATGTGAGAAGTTTAAGAGGACGAAAAGGCGATTCATTGGCTGTACATCCAAGAGGCAGAAACATTAAACTTACTTGGTTCATGTCAATTGTCTGCAATGCTTCACCTCGAGTGAAAACTATGGCGTGATTTTGATTCTCAGGCTTCCCCTCTCCTATGTTAGGTGGTCCAGGAAGTTTGACTCGGTATATTTCCTAGATTATCAAAACCAGTTTTAATCATTGATTATTAATCACCATGTGCGGAAGATTCTACATTTCAACTTGCACATCGAATTATAAAGGAATATTGTAGACAAGCTTTTTGATACCTGATCGAAACCGTTGACAGCTTTAACCAATATAGAGTAGTAAACCTTCCTTGGAACATCCAACACGATTTCTTCCCTCTCCTCGACGTATGCAACACGGAGAGATGGATACCTAAGCGCAGCATTCATGCAGCTTTAGAGAAGCTTGTACAAACTCTGGCTGCTGACTCTTAACTGAGATCATGTACAATTGGCTACATAACAATCAAAGCTTACTTAATCATCAGGTCAAGTATGTCTTGCGCATGGGGATCCCCGGCTGACTTTTGGGCTCCAAACATTTGGCAAGACACAACATACGTGAACTTCATATCTGCTAATGCATCAAGTTGTGCGGCTAAAGGACGATTACTTCGTTCCACGTCCTCATATCCTTCAAGAATATCTAGAGGAGAAACAAGCAGACTGCATTAGAATAACTTTTTTTTTTCACACGGAAATCGCAAAGATCGGAGGCTAGAGTCAAGATGACAAACCTTCATCATCTGCCATGTCAAGGAAGGCCTGCAATTTCAGAGCTTCTCGGCAATACATCATACCACGAACTGTGTTACGCATGAAAACAAGATAAAAAAAACTTGTTATAGTTTCTTATTATAGTTTGGACATCTTATTATAGTTTCTCACCTGTTCTGCTCAGTGTTTGTCCACGAAATGATGCCCAGTTTCGAAGCTCTTCTTCTTTACCTTCTCTCTTTAATGCATCCAAATTCTCACATCCCATTCGCTCCAGAAAGTTTTTCCATTCATCTAACAACCCAGAGATTAGACAATCTTGAAACACGAGCAGAGAAGACAATAATCAATCAAAATGAATATTTACCTGGAAAAATCTTCTGCATATAAAAAATGATTGACACGCTAGACTTGGTCGAGTGTAGTTCCTTCGTTGAAAAGTTAATATCCTCCTGATAATGCGGTGTCAAAACACTGCAACCAAAGTGTCAGTCATCAATTGTTGATTCAAAGATTTGCATATCTTTCTTTAGGAAAATCGTGAAGGCAGACCTGAATGACATCATATTGCGTACTTTCGGAGCGTCTGGCATATCCATGAAAAGCGAAGTAGCAAAGAAAGATATGCGTCTTCGAGCTTCTAAGTTCTCTGGTATATCCATTGCACTATCTCTGATGGTTAACAATAACAGAAAACGCTGGATCTGCAGAAACCAACATAGAAATATCACCACACTGCAGAGCATTTTTCGCAGGATTGGAACATTTTGAATGAAGAACGCATTGCAGCACGATTACAAGGTACCTGTTCACTCAATGAAGCACTATCTGGAAGCGGAAAATGTATACATCTCATATCTCCATAGGATTCAAACAACTGTGGTTCTATAACCCTCATAAAAATTTCTGTGTCCTCTCCTGACCCCTCCCGCGACTTGAGCAAATCTAGAATTCTAAACATGCAAAGAATCAGTTTAAGCAAGTTCAGCTTTCCACTGAGAGAGAACTCAAAGGAACAGAGGCTACACAACTTCGAAATCACTAACCTGTCACCGTGAACCATCATATCATTTGTCACAAGCTCAAAGATATCTTGAAGAGCTTTTACAAGTTTACTATGCTGCTCTTCAATTTTCTCAACCTGAAGCTGCTCTTCACTTCCCTCAACCTAAAAAGCACAGAAGAACTCAAAAACATTTAGAAACGAAAAGCTGTCACTTTGAATCTGAAATCAATAGCAACACCACGAGATGATTACCAGAAGTTGAACCAGCTCAATACATTTTTCATGCAACGCAGGGAGCTCTTTCATCTTAAATTCTTCAAGTAAACTTGACTGTCTGATGCTTTCCTCTATCTCGTTTATTATGCCAGATATAATCCTGAGCCAATGTCAAAAATATCTAAATTACATACCGGAAACAGCAGAAGTTGAAGTAAAAGTT